CCAACTAATATTCTTGGAAACTTATAAGTTTCTTTTTAGTCAAAAGTTATATAATTGTTGTCCTCTAATACTTCAATTGTTACTTTCCTTGTAATCAAAGTATATGACAGCGATCACTGTTCTTACCTTATTTATATCATCGACGTATAACGCAATTATTCACTGAAAGTTATTTTAATAAAGTAAAACACGCAAGTTTTTACTAAAGTCTGTTTATGGTCTAATTTGTATAAACGTAAACCACAAAGCCCTGCTTGCTTCGCCTTTGCAATGCCTAGTTTAACGAAAAAAATAATTCATTCAACTCGCCTAATAGCTTACATGACATCCCTCGGGTTTTTTACTAATTACTTGACATCTATATTATCATATATATATATATTTGTATTTTAAAAATCAAAAGAAGCTGAGCTAATCTGTAGTGATGGCCGATTAGCATCAATAATCTTGCCATTCCGCGATACCATTGCATTCACGCTTTCGTAGTAGATCACTCTAGCAAGAAACAACTAACAATAAAACGCAAAACACTACAAAATGTTTTTAATCAGTCATAACTAACATAGCAAAAAATATATGACAAAAGAAGATCATAAAATTGTAATAGACTCTAAGGAATATAAGCGAAGGATAACCGAAATTACAAAAATTACAAAAATAGCAAAACAAAACAGAAACCTACAATTAAACTTTCGCAGGAAATGATCCGTTAATAGACCAATCAGTAACCTTAATTTTAACTATTAAAAAAAACACGAAGGGATAGCAATTTTTACAAATTAGAAGAATTAACTTGATCCAAGCTTTTTATTTTGATACAAATTAAAGGTAACAATTATAAAATTTAAGCTGGTCAAAATAAATTAATTTTACATGGAAATGATTTTATGATCTTTTATAAGATATATATGCGGTGAGAAACTGAGCAACAAAATAGAAATTGTTCAAAAACTCCTTTTACTTTTTTATTAGACTCCATTTATCTTGAGATTCTCTAAAGTATATTCTATTTCTTTGAGTCGTCTTCTTTTACTTTAAACAGCCATTTCTACTCTTTTAGTTGCTCGTCTTCGCGACTTAAGGTGTAGATATCCCATGTACCTTTTTCATCCCTTCTCATAGAATTGGTTTACTCTGAATTCTAAACAGCTTCACTTGTATTCCTAATAAGATAGGTTGGTTTATAAGCATCGAATCTCATCTCATTAAGCTTTATATCGTTAATAACCTTATCTTCATCAACTTCAACGACAACAATTCCTTTTGATACCAATTATTCAACCACAATAGAATTTTTTTCCCAATTTATAGAAATTCGATTTGTATCTGTTAATTCATATTGGTCGTCTATTGCGAAAGTGCTCTATTTTCTTAATTATTCACCACCGCTTGTAGCTAACTCAGAACTAATTTTGCTCTCTTCATTCTCCAAAGGCTAATGCTTCATTTATTACTATTTACTTCCGGGTCTCTTAGTTCGCTTCTTGGAAAAAAATTGCAACTTTTAGTTACTTTTCCCGTCTTTAATTTGAAAATTCTACAACAACGTTCAAAAGGCTGCTAGGCAAAATGATTTGCCCTTCAATCCATTTCTTATTTTTTTTTCCAGGTTTAATATTATTAGGACGACAATTCCGCCAGTAAAGACAAAAAAATATTTGTAGCCTGTATATTCAAAGTTGTTTGACATGTTTGCTGATAGTGTTTCACAACTACCTGAAACATTTTTTCTTATCGCCAAGTAACACTACAAAGTTTTGATTAAGCTATGATACATTTTTATAGCAATTATATATATACGATTAAATTTTAGCACATGCTTACTTTATAAGGGTGAAAGGGAAAACTAAAAGTGGAATGAGGCTTTAAAAGTTATAATGCTACGCTTACAGATTTGTACGCGACTACGATGATAAGCTTCGTTTTTGTTTTTGTTTGGAAATAACTTGTGTATTTTTGAAAGCGACAGCAAGATTATATCTGCGTAAGGAGCCTATTGGGGTTGTTATTGTTGGGTAATAATAGATACTATGAGTGTATTTACATAAGTTTATAAATTCGTGAAGTAACTTTCAGTTTAAATATTAATTATATTGCTTTTCGGATGAGTGGGATAAAGTAGTATACTATTTCTTTAATTATTTGGAAAACATTGTATAATAAACTCTCCAAAAATTGATAATAGGTGTCATGGAACAGAATGACATCAATACTAATGCCTTTCTAGATAAATTAGTTTATTCTAAAACTAAATTTATAATTCGAGATTTTCAATACAACTGAGGTCCTCAGGTACCTATATCCAATTTTAATAACTCTAATTTTTTTACTTCAATCACACAGTTGTGAGCTTTTCATCTTCACAGATCTTTATGACCGTCTTAATTATAGTAATAGGTGGTATTATTATGGGCTGTTCCCTTTTGGATGAAGAGGTCATCATCGGGAAGGTCCGGCTGACAGTGGTGCTGGTCAGTGTTAGTCAGAGTCTCCGACCCAAGACCTTCTCCCCCAGTGGTGGTTTTTTGAGATTTTCCACCACACCAGGTCGAATGGCTGGTCTCCTGGCCCGATATTTTCCGCTTTTTCAGTCCTTCGGGACACTAGTGGGCACTCGGGCCCCAACCCCTGCAGAGGAGGGGGGATTCAGATGAAGCGGCTCAAGGTCTGAAGAAGACCGGCCGTAGTATGCCATGCTAAAAAAAAATTGTTATATTATATTCATCTCTATTTACGGCCTATAAAGATTTGTATATAAATATATAACCTGGTGTTGACGATGCGGTGTGCAATTAAATTTATAAAAAAATCAACTCTTATTTTTTAGAATATTCACAGGTATTAATTAGTTTCAGGTTTATTAAGCCTTTTTAAATTACCGTGTGTAGGTTTTCAGCTAAATAAAAAATTTATGAATACAAGCCGTGTGAAGAACGCGAAAGTTAATATTGTTATATACTTCACATCCTTTAATAATTTACGCTTTTAATCGTTTTGTTAAGGTAAATTATAGGAGAAGCACATTTGGGTAGACTAGGGGAAATTATCATTTTATTAGCCTACAAATTAAAAGCTAACAAAATTTTATAATCGGCAAGAAATACACACGTATTTATAAGCTTTTGGGAAAAGTTAGTAAAAGTAACGGTCAAAATGTAGAGGCTTATGGGTCTAAATTAACAGAAAAAAGTTAAGGCTTCCTTTTCCCAAACTGAATATATATTAACCAGCGTTGAAAAGTTCTCTAGAACAATTCTCCTCTGATAATAAGGTTAAATTTAAGAAAATTATCTTTAGCTACGTTAACCAATTTTTTGTTGTAAAGGGTCCTGGGTGAGTAGTATGCAAGACTGGCCATCTTGGAGATGTAACATGATAAGCCATGTTTAATATATGTAGAAATACGAATACTTTTGACAATGTATACAAAAAAAAGCTAACATATGTAAAAAACAACCGTTTCAGTTAGCCTGTATACAAAGGATTTTTTATATTTACGGTTATCGCCAAAGGCTCTTAGTCAAATAGAGTTGTTTTAACCACTATGCAACTATGTTTGAGAAGTTTATCCTCAAAGAGGGCGTTAAAAAGATAAAACACAACCACTGGTGCGTTTAATAGTAAAGCTCCTATTATATAATTAGATTTAAGAAATAAGTCCCCCTTAATACAAGGCATCTCTTCCCTCAACATATTTGCCACAGGGTGTTAAACTATGCGTAGCGTTGTTACTATCAGATAATCAAAAACACAGTTCTCTTTAGTAAGCCTCAAGTTACTCCGCCTTTTATCTTACACAAGAAGAAAACCGGCCTGATGGTCTGGGTAAGTGTGCAGAACGCAAAGCCGAACTAGAAGGTTGTGTTATTTAATATTAACCAGTGTAAATTACCTTGTAGCTAAACGAATGATTTAGCTTTCCTGGTTTGAAAAATATGGCATGTCCCAGAAAGTTAACTTATTATTAGCTTATTACTTATTAGTGCGTGCTTACTCTTACTTATTCCGTGCACAGAGTTTAACAACTGTGCTCGTAAGTTTTTCAGAAAAAATATGGTCTTTCAGGAAACTGAAATCACTTTAAGGACCGCAGCTGTAAACAAAATTGTAAATTATTATCTTATAAAACGTAAATAAAAACAATATCTACACTTAAAAGTGCAAGCACGTAAACTGTCCAGGCTAGCCAACCCAGCATTAAAATTAATTGGTTAGCAAGTTGCTGCCGATCTTTTACACCGAATAGAGTTCGAAAATTATTTGAGTTTAGGCTAAACACTACTATGATGGGACAAAATCACCCTATTTTCGAGGCTCTAACAATTTTTAAAAGATTCAAACTTTTATTTTTAACTATTTATGATCAGCGTGGCAATATGTGCTTATATATAAAGCAATAAAAGATGCCCGATTATTTTGTGTTAACTTAAATCCTGTTCAACCGCCACCCTTTCTCAAGTTCCAGAGATAACAAGTTTTAGAATAATATATAAGATTTGAATTTGGACCGAATGTTAAAAAATAATTTGGCAACTGGTTTGAATTATAACAAAAATTTTCTGCTAAATTTATGCTAACGTTTTTTGGCCTTCCCCCTCCAATAATAATTAACACAAAATTTTAAAACTATTATAAGTTTATCATGCAAATGCAAAACCAGGTTAACCTTTTCTTAATTACTGCTGTAAACCGTTGAAAAATACTCAAAATCTAAATAAAATTATTTAAAAAATTGCGAAAAACATAATTTAACAGGTTTTATAAAAAAATGTATTAACCGAAAAAAAAATGTTAGTCGGAACTCTTTATCGTAATAAACGCTAATAATCCAGTTTTCAATAAAAATAACGACGCAGTGCCTTTTAAAAAAATGCTTATAGGATTATAGGTATACTCTAGCAAAATATTATTATAGAAATAATTTTATTATTTAACGTAAGAAAAAAAATCAAAACCCCGAAAATCAATAACGACGAAGGTATAAAAATAGATGTTATACAAACCTACGCAAGGTTATAACCAAAAATACAGTGTATATTCTAAAAGTCTAGAAAAAGTGAGTCTGTATAACTCAAATTCACTTATTTTTTGATAAGACTCTTTTTGTCGGTTGGCTTTAAAATATGAAAGGAACACATTAATGTAACATCTACGCTCATCATAGCTCCGGCATTGTCAAACTCGCCGCAATAATTTGGTGCAGAAAATATAGTCACCAACTGACGTTTAGCAAAAAACTCGTAGCCATCCTCTACGACTTGGTGAGCTCGACATATTAAATCAAAGTCATGTTTTGCAAGAAATTTTCCAACAACGTCGGGTCCGAAAGTAAAGGATACTCCTCGATCATTTTCTCCCCACCCATTAAGGTCGGGGTCGGGATCTGACCAAAGCAAATCGCAAAGAAGACCAGTATCAGGAACATCGGTAGGTCTGCACAAGAGTAGGAATATTAAATTAAATAAAGTTAAACTTGCAAAGCATACCGCATTATTCTTCGAATTTGGTCCATAGCTTGCAGATCAGGCGAAAGGCCACCATGCATACAAAAAATTTTTTCATCAATTATAGCTGCAATTGGTAAGCAATTAAAACAATCTGTAAAAGTTTTCCATACTTTAATACTGTAACGCCTTTTGCATTCATCATAAAAACCGTATATTCGATTAATAGATGCACTTTCGTGATTACCCCGAAGAAGAAAAAAGTTTTCGGGATACTTGATTTTGTATGCCAAAAGTAAGCATATTGTCTCAAGAGACTGTTTTCCACGATCAACATAGTCTCCAAGAAATAGATAATTGCTATCAGGAGGGAAATTACCGTATTCAAATAAACGTAACAGATCATAATACTGACCGTGCACATCACCACAAATTTTTATCGGTGCCTGAAGTTCAAGCAAAATTGGCTGCTTCATAAAAATATTACGGCCTTTAAGGCATAACCCAGTTATCTCTTGCTCTAACAACTGCACTTGCTTCCCAGGTCTCTGCCCACGAACTTCTAAAAGTCTTTCAATTACGCTATCGACATTGAGACTTTGAATAATTGCTTCTTCCAAACTTGAGTTATCCATTGAGTAACACTTTTTTTACAAGAACACCTAAAAATAACATTAAATAAATATATGGTTAAAATAAACTAACAACCTTATTATGGGATTTTATATAACATTTAACAAAAAGAACTCGTTCGAAAGGAGAATAACCTTTAGGTAAAAATAAAACAAAGTTTTCAAAAAATAATATGCAATTCGATATAACAATGTTAACCGAAAACTATTTGAAAAATATTAAAGACAGCAGTTCCACTTCTACTGTGAAGACACGAACAAAAGACGAGAAAAAAGGGCTAGTTCTCAAACTAATGTTTATTGGAATTAGCCAGCAAATGAGTAACTTCAGTAAAATGGGTCTAAAATTTAATACTAATTTTGCTTAAGAGCTTCTTTTCTGGTTCCTTTTCGTTAATTTTGGGTAGGGCTTAATATATAGCGACCGCGCTGCTGTGTACTACTTAACCTTTTTTGACTTCTTAAAATGGGCGCTTTCGAAACAACATTTGGGATCTTACTTCTCTTTGTCTTTTTTATTGGAGATATTAATCCTAGCTTGGATAATTTATTATTTGTTTTAGACTACAGTTATTGTTACCACCAATCTATGTTACCTTAATTAACTATATACGAACCTACAACACTATATAAGATAACAGATATATTAAAGTAGTTATTTAAAGAATATGGACTTTATTGGAAAAATTAATAATATTTGATCGATAATATCTTCCTTTAAGTTGATCTCAATGTAAGAGGCTAAATGTCAGCATTAGCTTTGTAATAGAATTATATTTATTGTTTTGTACGAAAAGAAGTTAATGATAAAAATTTATGGCGTAAAGGTCTGCCCTTCGCGGCCACGAAGAGGGAGTAAACTTTTCTTAACCAATTTCCTTTTCGCACTCTTGTTACCCCTTAATAGTTATACTTGTCTCTTTTTAATTTTTTTGTGGATGTTAAGAACAATACCGCGAACATAGTGTATGCACTTTCCAAACAGGGAAGCCAAAGTCCTTTTCCTTACTCTAAAGATCACAGCTTGCGCTCTCTTAGAAAATTTTTTGTATATACCAAATCGCTTTAAAATAGAAATTTCTGAATAGCAACTAACTTCATAATAACTCGCAATGGTTGTAACAATTATGTTGTAGGTATATTACGATATAATATACAACTTTGCAATGTAGTAGAGTTCACTTATATATTACTCAAACATGAATTATATGTTTGCTGCTACGAAATTTAAAATTACTTATATTGAGCATTAGTATGTTCATATCTAAAATCCGTGCTCATTTCAAAATTCTTCAGATCAATAATGTGTTTATAATAATAAAATAAAAATATTTTACTGCGCACTTCGTATAACATTACCGGACTTATGTTACTTTTTACACTTAAAATGGACGCGTAGGCGAGCAAGGAGTATATTTATAATATCCGATTTTTAGAAAATTTTATGTTGAATCTGTATATCAGGTTTTAATCTCATGTATATAGTTTTTGTAATAAATAAAAATAAATGCACATCAAAATAAATGTTTTTGTTTAATTGCAATTTATTTTCAATTATAATAAAAAATGGTATCTATACTTAACTCATTTTACACAATAGTTATTAAATATTCCTATTTCCGCGTACACGCCAATTAAGGTCCTCTTCCCCTCATACTATCTTACTTTTTGTACTAGGTTAGGTTAAGGGTAAACCCAAAACAAATTTTAAAATGGTGATGGGGTCATGATAATAACTTCGACTTAAGCCTCGATGCTTCTATTAATGTCTACCTAATGACGTTAGACCTAATTGCTTTAATTTAAGCTCTGTCTTCTCAAAAAATTAAGTTGCAACTTAAATGGTAATTTAATGGATTATTATGAAATGAGACGTCGATATCATCAGAGCTCAGTGGTTAAAGTATTGACGCTCTAAGTCGCGGTTTATCCCCGTAAGTGCAGCTCTCATTTTCATACCTTGGGGGTGTGGATTTTTTCTACAAGAAAAGATATTCTTATTAAAGGAAAGTAAAAATATTAGATTGTTTAATACCTTAATAAATGCTTCTTCTCCACTAAGGTGATTGTTCACTTTTTTTTTTAACTTGGTGAGGAAACATGCAATTTTTTAATAAATTGACCAGATCGTGGAGACATCCCTTAATAAGAAATCATTAAACAATTTTTTAGAATTCTCATAAATATAAAAAACCCAAAAATAAAAAAATAGTTGTTGATACTAGCGCCTATTCTCATTCCGTAAAAAGATAGAGGGTTCTTGACTAATGTCCAAAATGATAAGGTATAAACACAAAGAATGATAGTACTGAAGCCTACCAAGTTGGCTATCTCAATTTCTTACGTAAATTAAATGAGAAAATATTAGATATCCGTCTTGATAAATGTATTATTATTATTATTAACCCTACTATAGTCGCCGTAGGTCTCTCAGGCCCCTTGAGTTTTAAATTTTTTACTTCTATATTAAATAAAAAATACCGTAATTTTTGAACATTTGTTCTTTATTGAGATATTAGAATACAATTTACACTAAGCTTTAATTTCTTCTCAATTTAAAAATTTAATAAGCAAACTATTTTCCAGATCTGGGAGACTCCCTGCGACTACTGCAGGATTAAAAAAAAAATAAGGTTATTGCTTAAGGTAAGAAAGAAAATAGCTGTTTCTTATCAATGGTCATGGTTATAATAGTTCAGCAATGACTCAGCGTTTAATATTATACATTGTTTTTCTGTCAATCAGAGAACATGTTAGATATAGGCATACTAGCTATCCTAACTTAAAAAGGGATATCTCCTAGTATTTCTTATTAAAAAATATAGTGTGAGATCCGCCAAAGAATTAAGATGACGAAGGAGTTAACAAAATAAGCGAAATTAATGGACGTACTTAGGACAGTTAATGTGAATTATTACCTTATAGTGAGGCTTACCGTGATATGAGAAATACGGGTATGTTATAGTCGCGATAGCGAGTCACCTTATCTACATGAAATCTAACATGAAATTTAAAAATCTGACAGTAAAATATGTTAAAAGACACAATATTTGCATATCAGAGATCCCGAAAATAAATGAATTCTTAACAAACTTGACAAAAAGTAAAAATTGCCTCATTAATTTGCGCAATGAAACTTAAATTGAATCTTGCCAAGCTTGAAAATTCGAGATAGCCTACATCCTACTGGCAATTTAAACCCATAAGAAATCTCAAGGAACCTCAACCTTCGGCCCTTCTCAAGGCGGAGACCGAAAATATTTATTACGACAATGTTTAGGCTGATGTGTTCGTGGGAAGTTATTTAAACACTTCCCAATAACAGAAAAAGTAACTTCTAAGACCGAAAATAGCATTACTCGCAGTAAAAAAAGATGAAATATAACTTGCGAATATACCACTAGGAAAGAAGTATAATCAATTATAAACCTTCTGCGTACTAAAAAAGCACCAGATCCTGACGGCATAACCCACGACCTGCTTAAACACAAGCCCGCGGTAGCAATAAAGGCCTTAGTTTCACCTATTAACTATTCTCTTAAGCCATGTACATATCCTGAATGATGGAAAACGGCAGTAGTCGTGTGCATCCCAAAATTAAAGCGGCCTCCTGCAACTCCTAAAGACTACCATCCTATTAGTCTTTTGGCATGTATTAGCGAAATAGCTGAACTGTAATACTTGGATGATTGCGAAAGATTGTAGAGAGTACTGATTATATACCAGAGTTTCGGTTTGGATACCGAAGGGGTTACTCCACTCCGCAGCAGCTTTTGCGTTTCTCCGACCTCGTCACATTTAATAACAATAAGTCGACATGTGCATAATGACACTATCTAGCCTGAAGGTAACAGGTTCGCTTCTCCAGTCTTTTCTGTACCAAAGGACATTTATGTCAGGATGGGAAAAGCTAGCTCATCTTTAAGCGAACTGGTTATGAAAGTCCCACAAGGCTCGCTGCTATATCCCCTCTTATTTGCTTTACCCCCATGTCGGACATACTCAGACCTGAGAATACCTCCACCTTTTTGTCACAAATTGCAGATGATGCGGCTGTCTATACTAACTTCAATTCTCCTTCACTAGCTTTAAAAATACGTGCATACGTGTGTTTCCGCACTTGATGTATGGTTTGATAAGGGGCGAATTCCAGTAAACCCCTTAAGAACAAAGCTATATTCGTTATCGAAGAGGAGACTTAAAACGACAGCATCATTTATAATGCTTTGCGGCCAAGTCATCCCCTGATACACGTAAGTCAAGTACTTGTATGTTTAGATGGACAAGTAATTCGCGTGACGCTGCCACGTTGACTACTTCATCAACAAAGCGAAGTTAACAATCAAAGAACTACATGCCCTCTAGTGGAGAGTTCTTTCTCAATAAGCAGCAAACTCAAGCTTTATTTGCAACGTATTCTGCCATCTTTGACTTATGCAGGCGTGGCGTGGTCGTATAGCACTCAACTAAACATAAAGCGACCTTCAGCGGTTCAAAGTCGACTGTTGCTATTAATTAGAGGTACCCAAGGTTTGTCCTGGGTGCTCACTTGCATTGTGACTTGAAGTTGGGAACGCTTCCTCCATATTTTAGTCGCACTACCGTGAGGAACTATGATAAATATTTAGATCATCCCGATGATTTTTTTGTTCATGACATAACCTACACTCGTTATAGGGGACCACTATACCTTCTCACCGCCCTATAGCTCTCCCGGACGTAAAGGACTTCTTTTTTATTTTGTAAATTAGATTAAGCTGTATTATAGGCCTCTAACCTTGGCCTGGCTGTAGAGGTCAACTCTGTAAATAAAAAAATAAATATATACATATACTATCCAGAAATAAAGGAAACTACCACACCGCTGTTACTGAGATATTAGAACTGACAAGGACAGTAAGTTAACACTTGTCCAAGAATATCGAAATGCAGATGTTAAATTGTCAACAACACCTGAAGATAACACTGCAATATTTGCTGAGTGAGAGAAGCATTCAGACATTGCCCACCATGACACGTTATATATTAAGACAGTTTAAGCTTCTATAAAAAATTTAAAGTGAAGCTTTACGTGACGCGGCCTACATGATAAATAATACACCAAAAAAGAATGAAAGAAAATTGCTTAAAAATTTTTTTTTGGATTTATATCCATCGGTCTTAATTTGTAAACCTCTGAGTTATATAACCTTTTATGCACCCGGATTTAAAAAGATATATAATATCGGGCAATTAATAGCATTCTTCTTCCTTAACAGACAGATTCTACTAGTGATGGATACACTATACTTAAAATACCAACGAGGAAAATTGTAAGGGTCTAGAGACATAGTATATTTTAAGAAAGCTTATCCTTTGATACCACCAAATCTCCCCTTCATTCTCTCTTAGAATCCGAAGTGCATAAATATGAAGAAAAATTATATAAAAGGTAACAACTTTACGATGCCACTATTGATTCTACACAATGAACCGAATACTATAGCTATGGAAAATACAATATCTCAGGTACCACCCGCTTCAGCTAGACCGGAAGCAATTTATGACAAAAATATTTTAGAAGACATACATGGTCAAACAAAATATATTTCGATCCCAACAACAACAACATATATAATAGTAATAATAATAACCTCACCTATAGCGAGTTCTCTACTAATATCAATGAACACACTCTCAACTTTTATGCAAAGGTTACACAACTTATATAGCTTAAAAATAGACCGATGATGATTTTAAAAGCCAAGAAGTTAAATTGTTGAACAGGTGTTTAAATAACAAGCACTTAACCTAAAGAGTTTTAAAAATAAAAACAAAAGTTATAACCCTCACAAAAAGAATGCCTCAATGTTATACACAATGTTTGCCTTAGAAACCAGTAAACCTTGAGTACCTCATATTTTTAAAAAAAATAGATCAAATAAAAAAACTTTTAAAAATTTGACGCTCGAACAGAAAAAAACAAAAAACTAGTACTAAATTTATGGACCAGGACTTTTTGTTAACATACAATGAAGGCATACAGTCCGTTTCCATAGATAATCACCGAGAAGCAACTTATAAAGAACTTGTATCCTTATTTGCTCTTTATGGCTTTGAATTGTTGATATAAACAATATAATGAGAAAATTTTTATAACTACATGGCAATTTCTTTTTAAGTTGAGCAACCAGTTTAAAGCGAGACTGACTGCGAGGAATACTAACAAGTATATGAGACTGACTACCAAAAGGTTTTTCCTCCTGTCCTCTCCAAGTTATCAGTACGGCTACTTATTATCATGGCTAAGAGTCTACAAAAGCGAATTCAACAAAGTTCAATATAATTTAGGCCTTATAACATAATAGGTTGAAAAAAAAAACAGTTTTATGTACACATACCTCCAGGCCTACTTTAGATATTGGAAATATGAATTTTTAGTACAGAACCCTTCTTCTAGAGCCTTATAGTAGTAAAAAATGCGCCTTAAGAATTGATGTTGCCTTGTATAATATATGAAAGAATAAGCTAGACTTTTTTATAGACCAAAGTGATTTGGTTATTATCAAAATAAAACTGATGAATGCATATTTCAGGTATCTTTTTATAGTAATGACTGCACGATAGTCAAAATTCTCGAAAATTTTCTTTTCGTTTAAAAAAAGGACTATAATATGAAAGAATGCAGCGGAATTGAAAGAATTTGGGGGAGGGGGGAGGTAACGTAATAGACGAAGAAGATTTTTATTTAGTAGTCTAAACGTATAACATGGAACATTATAAATTTCCTATTTTACAAAATCATAATTTAGACTACCTTTGCCCACCTTGATGGAAACTAGACCCCCAACTGATATCTTATGACTCTCAGAAGAAATAGGATTATTAGGGGTGAAGGCACTAACACTGGGTGTTCCAGTCTAATTGGATGCTGAGTCGATTTCTTACATGCAACAATGATAAACATTGTAATTGGCACTTATAACTCTTAATTACCTCAATCAAACAAGACACCGTTTTCTTTATATGGGGTGTAGTGAAAATCTTGACAACAATTTCTTAGGTGATTGCTACTGTGATCTTTAAGGTTTATAAAACCACAGTGGGGGTGTTATATCATTCTAATTAAAGGATCTTCAGTGCTAATGCAACAATGATAAACATTGTAATTGGCACTTAGAACTCTTAATTACCTCAATCAAACGAGACACAATTTTCTTTATATGAGGTGTAGTGACAATGTTGACAACATTTTCATAGTTGAATGCTACTGGGATCTTTAGGTCTATAAAACCACAGGGGGGTGTTATATCAATCTAATTAAAGGATCTCCAGTGCAGTGTTCTTATAAAGCCAAAATAATATACATCAATACTATTATGGGGCCGAGTACGTTGCTTTAAGCGAAGCTATTATCGAACTCATCTAAAAAATATAAACCTAAAAATTTTTTCCAATTTATGGAGTTTAAATAATATTTTATACCGGTAACGAAGCAATAAAAGATATAGTTAAAGGCGACGCTCGAATAAGAGGGTTAGAAAGTGACACTGCTTATCACTACAATGAAGAAGAACTTCGAAAGGGATATACTTGTAATGAATATATACCCTTGAGGCTTAATCTGGCGAATATATTTACAAAAATGCCCTTACTTTAAATACATAACTTCTCAATAACTGCTTCTTATAAAATAATATAGAGTATGGAGTTATAATCAAATAAAAGCTTCAACAAAAATTAGATTTCTGAACTTTAGTTTTCTGTAAAACACTTTTAAAATTCCAGTAGCAAGAGACAAACTAACAATAAAGGTAACCAGTGAAGCTGCCGGTGTCTCCAGGTGGCCTCATGTATTTGTGCCTAAGGCCCCTCTCCCGGCGGTAATTTTTAGAGATTTTCCACCCCACTAGTCCGCAGGGCAGAAGTCCGAGCCCGATATTTTCGCTTTTCCAGTCCTTCCGGACGGTCGTTATAGCTCTATAAAGGGAGTACATGGAAGGGTACTCGTACGCCCAACCCACGCAGCGGAGGGGGATCCAGGTTAAGCGGCTTAAGGAGGAAACCCATTCATTCCCTTATTGTCATTCTATCACAATCACTGAATTAGGATATATCAGGAAACTTATATCGCTGAAGCTTGAAAGAAACAAAAGAGACTACATTGTAGTGCGTTGTTCCTCTGTATATATATTTTAAATTGTTCCTTCGAATTCCCCTACTTCTGGATGAGAAGAGTACAGGTGAGCTAAAATTAATATGGTAGTAAAGAAAAGGAAGATCACCGAAATTCTGCCTTTAAAATCCCGTCCAGATTGTCGGGTTCTGATTCTCTCCCATAGATGCCTATTTAGTTTGTAACTAAACTTTGCAGGAAAACCGTAGCAATTTATATACCCCTTATAAATTTTAAATTAACTTTATTACAGGCTAAGTAGTTAGAAATTTGTGCTTTGATTTGCCTGTTTTTATTAAATAGACAAATTATATCATTTATAAAGCTACTTCTTATCAACTGTCTACGAAATGTTATTAAAATTTTTTAAATAATTGAAAGTTGCAAACTTATTGCAAAGGAGCTTTTACAAAGTAATTTAACTTACTGACTTATGCCTTTGGATTTTCTTTAGCAATAGAACTCATTAACACTTTATCTCCTTACCTGTTAGGTCTGCATAAACTATTGGATCTTTAAGGAAATAGTAATTTAAGCGTTATAGTAAACTGCTACAACTATGAATTTAAATATAAAGAAATTTACTCCAGTGTTTATGTGTGCTTTTCAAACATAGCGGTTTCTAGTAATTAAAGTATATCTTTTCCTAAAATTGTGAAATGTTCGGAAAGTTCATGATTTGTTACTAAGTTAAAAATTTTTCACGTCTACTTTTTTAAAGATGTTGCTAGTGATAACTAGTTTATACCAGAAAAAAGCGTAAAAAATTTTTGTAAAGAAAAAATTTAGTTAAAATGAAAGTGGATCTTCAAATATATAATTAATAACAGAAGTGTGTTAAAGCAGTGCAACAAGGAGGACAAACAACAAAGTACGAAAGAAACCTAGGCTTATCATATTTACAGCCATAAAAATTAATAAAAATTGTCTGCGCTCACGTTTGTTCCCTTCATAAATGAGAAATTTTCTTTATGGCGAAAAGTTTTCTTTTTCACTTCCTCATAAGGTTCATAATTTTTAAGCTTTTGAATCAAACTGATTATTATCGGATCGCTGAATCCAAAAAACTACAAATAATTTTTAAGTACGCGTTGCAAAGATAATAAGCCAGATCAAACTAAACCAAGGGCCCACTGACACGTGTTCCTGGGGAAGGTCCATGGACACACACTTGAGTCCAAGGCTGTGTGGCTACTCAGGTTGGCTCAAACAAATTTATAGGTTTTAAAAAAGCTAAGCGCTGTACGAGTCGCTCCCGAGTAGGAATTTCCGTCTCTGAGTTTAACCGTAAATACAGGGCCGTCTGTGCCTTCCTCAATGGCCATGTCACACATGCAGCCGAAATGAACTTTACATGCCTTGTAGCCTACGGGATAAGGATGGTGGAACTTACACTGTGAAAAGTATGGAAATTATAGGCGCGGCAACTGAGGAAGGGACTAAGCGTACAGCAGAACTACTCCAGTATAAACCCGAATTGGGGCCGGTATAAATTCGGCCAAGATCTAATATAGTTGTTCCCACAGAGCAGAGAGTTAAGGGAAAACATAGGTTTTGTGGAACCTATAAAAATTAATTTAAACGTTTAGGTTAGACAAATTGCACATATATTGTTACCGTAGTAAGAACAAAGCGTGACAAGGATTTAGGAAGGGTGCCACTTTTATAAGGTCTTTCGACGGTAAAAGATTTCTCATTATGGCTCCCCTCTGTAGAATAGTCCTCGAGAAGGTTAATAGGTCTGTCTATGAAAGCCTTAAAGAATATAAAGTTATTAATAATAAATAATTTTTTAAGTAAAACACGTACGACTGGGTCTTCACCCCTCAAACGCCTGGACTGTCTAAAACAGGAAGGCCCTTTGTCTCCTCTACTATTTCTTATACGCTCACTCTTATGCTTACCATAAAATGAGCAAGTATTGTGAGATTTGGCAGTAACTAAATCATGCTTCTGGAAGAAAAAATAAATATGTTTGGGATTAAAACAAAAAAAGCCTTTATATATATATTGTCGTAATAAATACAAGGCCTAAGGACTTTAAAAGTTGGTCATTTTCCTTAATTCGTAGTTGCCGCTCGCGCTCATATAAACTTAACAAAATATAGATAAATAACTAAAAAATAATATTAAACTAAGGTAAAAAACATTTTTAAATAGTAGAACGCACAAATTTAGGAGGGTAAAAAATATAAATACATTTTATCCTAATATAAACTTTTGGTATTGGTAACAAAATTTTACAAATGCAAAAACTAAGAAATCATTTTACTTGTATGATAAAGGCGAGAAAAGTGTTAATAAAGGAAACTAGTAAATCAAAGGGAAGATAATAACTGTTTTTTAAAGTGTAGAAGTGTAGCAAAATTTATGTTTAATCACGGAATTGCGACCTCTGAGCGGGCATATTGAAGGTAAAAGGTACTACAAATGATAGCCAAGACACGGATCTGGTATTAAAGAGAATCACCTATTTTAAAACTATTGTTGTATTAGTATTTTAGGGTTAATATTCCAAATGGTGCGACACTAAATTTAATTTGACTATCTGTTACAAAGTGTGCGCTTATTAGCTAAGGCAACGCCTTCATGACATCCACAATAAATATTTTATTAACAAGATTTGGTAAATTACTATTATATATAATCGTATATAAACTAAATATGTACTAAAAGTCAACAATAGATGTAATTAATATTATAAATGAAAAGAAGACTTTAAGGTATATTTGAAAAAGTACTATAAGATTCAATTAAGCATTGTGGACATCGTAAACATTTTAAAATTTTTTAATTTCAAAATAAAAGTAACGAACGGTTTCTATGTATCTTTCCGCTTCGTTATGCTATTTATTTGTATAATCTAGTGATGTATGTTTCTTATAGCAAAGCTTATACTAGCAAAATATTAGGCGAGCCGACATTTAGTCCACCGTCTAAGCGATTTTAAGTTCAATTCAGCTAAACTGTAGATTTAACAATTTAATTAAATGGTGATAAAGATATATAGCATTATAAATATCTATTTCTAAGGACATGGTTTAGCATAAACGCTAATCAGTATTAAATACGAGGCAAAATAGTTAGTTTTTTACCGGGTATAACAGATATATAATTTGTTGTCTTGAATTTTTAATAAAATTTACAAAAAATAAGGCTATTTCTAAACTTTTTGTACTTAGCATTTCAACTAACTGCAGTACAGGGAGCAAAATTAACATTCGAAATCAAACACGCAACAACACTCTTTTTAACCATTAAAGCTGAGCTAATAAAATTACACATCGCTCATACTACCCTATTGCTAAGCACGTATGCCATACAAATTACGGTTGTTTTTAACATTTACAGAACTCCACCATTAGAGGTAGTTACTTAGAAAATAATGTCTACTGTCCAGTTAGCACTCCCCTTTGGAGTAGGAGGGTAGGAATAAATCTTGTATAATAAGTCGACAAAATGCGATTAATAGGGAAGATATCATGGCTTAATTCGGTCAAACTTGGTGAAAACTACCCTTTCTTCTTTGCGTAATATTAATACAGCACGTGATAATAATACTTTAAGAGTTAACTGCACCAAATAACAGCTTAATTGCCTTCAGCTATTAAAGTATTTTTAATTGGTTCCATTAAGTACTTCCATATGGTCCTTTTCTAAATTTATTAGTTTGCATACATTAATCCTACCCGTATTCAAACTACGAGTTTGAGAGCTTTGCTTTGTTTTATGCCGAGTATGGCCTATTAAATGAGTGTTATTAACAAGTTTTTGTATTTTTTTGTTTTATAAATGCTAACTACTATAGCTTTATTTATTACTGACCTATATTATTGCAAATAGAACTTATAATACCTTAAAGTTGTAATGGATGCGACTTCGGAATTTCTTGTGGAGCAGCCGGTTTTACTAAATTCTAATCAAGGAACTTTGGGTGAAGCTGGAGACACTGTCTCTTATAAGGAAACTTTAGAAACTACTGCTGAAGAGTCAGGAGACAAAATATTAAATTTACGTTGCGAGGATGCGAAAGGTGTCAAGTCGTCACCCAATCCTGATCTTACCGTAAATGTTGAAATTCAATCTTCTGATGTCGCTTTGAACGACCCTAATCCTGTTTACGCGAGCACTTCAGAACCTGCAAGTCAAGAAAACGTTGATAGCAATAAAGAAAATCACTTAACAAGCGGTGATAATTTAAAAACCAATGTAAATTCAGTAAGATCCGGTGGAAAAAACACAGAAAGAGCATATCCTAAAGAGAAATCACGCTTTACACGACCTTCTGGTAAGTTTGCGCGATTTAGATCAGGTATTGACGGTAGAAATAATATAAGTTCCATCGCTGGCTCCTCTGTCGCTGAAAATATTTCGGATAACTTAGACTTCGAGACGAGGCTTGCCCATAATTGTAAGTTAGCTCCCGGAAGAAATTACACTAATGTTTCAGATCGTCCTTCCGAAAGGGTTTATCAGAGGTTTATACGGAGTACTAGGCGTGAAAAAACTCTGGCAAGTAATTCAACGGAAGTACCCGACTCACAATTAGACGACCTGAACACAAGTTTAAAAGAACAAAGCAACAATGTATCCTCCGAACTTCACTCGGTTCGCAGAAATAGAGAGTTTACGCGGTCTGAAGGAAGGAGAAGAGGCATGGACAAGCGCATTTCAGGAAACATAGAAAATGAAGTTCAACCTTCACTAATTGAGGGGGAAAACACTGTTAAAGGTCAATTACTTAAACCTCGTCAAAATCGATTCAATTCTTTTCGCGGTCGGTCTTTTGATTATGACGGTTTGAGAATTCTTCTTGTTACTCACGTTCAAGGTTTGTATAAATATTATTATATAGTAACTTTAAATTTAATATTAACTAGAAGCGAACTATTACTTTGATTTTTTTAGGCCGTTTTACTTTGCTCGATAGGATGGCGAAAACTATTGGAGCAGATCTTGTTATTAATTCAGGAAATTTTGGCTTTTTTGGTCCCAATTCTATATTTTTTCAATTTGTATATTAAGCTCTTTTTGTTTTATTAACTTTGTTACATACTTTATTGCTTAAGATGAAGAAAGTTATGATAGTATGCCGCCCAGGAAACTTTTCTTTTTGTTAAGGAAGTCATATAAGTACAAGCTTAACCAAGAGGAAAGAGATGCTTTTTATAATTTTTCAGGTTGTATATATTTATTATTAAAAAGTTTTTGCTTTTATATAAGCTGATTCTTGAACTACTTGCTGTAGTGGATGCGTGTCGTCGGGAATTAAAGCGTCGACTTCTCTTCAGCGAACTCCCGCTTCTTTTGAGTGGAGAATCTGCACTTTCTGTGCCTATTTACACGATATGGGGTGAAAATGAAGGTAAACTGAGTTTTTTGTTTATGAATTATTGCAAATTATCTTCTTGTAGATGTTCGAGTGCTTGAAAAGTTCCGTACAGGAAAATACAACGTTCGGAATCTTTTTATTCTCGATGAAAAGCATTCCTATAGAATTCAAAATTTCCGTCTTTTTGGCTTGGGTCTGTTTTGGGGATCCTTTTTGCTTGCTTTTTCATATATCCTTTGTGGGTATTAGGCGGCGCTTTCCGGTTGCATAAGCTCTTCGATAACGGGATCGGCAAGCACACGATAGCCGGCGAAATAGGCACCATGTGGACAACCCTTATTCAGGCTTGCCATGAGCATCTTTTTACGCGAAGAAGCTCGCTTATATAATCTTGTGTAGATTGCCGAATTACTGACGACTAGTCGACGCATTCCGTACGATCCCACTGAAGTGCGGATCTTCGTAAGCTACACGGGGAGCATAACGCAGCCAATGGTCACACAGCTCACCCTGCAGCTGCGGGCAGCCCTTGCCATCCGCGGCCAACTTCGCTCACGTGCGCTGACCATGTATAGCGACGCAAGCATGTATGACACTGAGTCGTGGTTGGCGAAGTGCCAAGCTATGCAGGACGAAATTTTTGATTACTGGGAGAAGCTCGAGCCTCAGATCTGCGAGATTTGCACGTAGCTTGCTTTTTTTGTGCCATCTCTCTTAAGGTATTTGACTTTCTTTTATAGAGAGAAAGAGATTGCAGCTTTTAAGCGTGTTTTGCTTTTTGTTAAGAAAATTCCTAATCTCAAAGTTATGAGGTTCTTATTTTTAACATGGGATGTTCATTTTTTCAATGTGTTGTTTGGTTTGGAAGGACCATTTACAATATAAATCCTCCATATTTGAATGCTGGCCGCGCTGTTCTCACACTCTCCCGCGACAATTTCCATTTGGAGACCGTCACTAATTCTTTTCTCCCAAGAGTGGATTATCGAACTCGTAATTTTCAAAACGCCTCACGAGTTTATAGACAATCGCGTCGCAAAGAAGTTTGCTTTATTACTTGTTTATGGAACATAATTTTTTATGTTTTTTTTTTTGCAAGCAGATGCCGGAGAACGCCGCTGATCTAGTTGATGGTCGGCTTCCGAACAAGTAGTGGTTGTATATTATATATATCACAATATTATAATACCTCCTTTTTTCAGCGTTGAAGAATCTACAGGTCAAATTTTAAATCGTTGAGCTTTTAAAAAAATAAAATCTAAATTTATTCATTACACGTTTTTAAAAGGTTTTTGTTTTCCTGCGGGTTTCTAGCAGGCTTATCAATTTTATACTTGCTGTCGTTAACATTTGGCTATAGCTTTATTTAATAACTTAGTGATTTTTTATTGCACTTGGTAAAATACTAAACTTTGAATTTTAGGGCTCAGGGAGTTTTATTGGGGTATTTGATTTATGATTTCAATAAATTATTTTTAAAGTCATCTTTTTAAGTATACAAAGTTTTTTTTATCAAGTTGAGTTCAATTCGCCATAGTTAAATAGAAATGGATTTCTTTATGCCTTAATCTTTTTAATTTTGTTCCAAACTTCCCTCATGTGGACTTGGATAATTATAGTACATTATGCAGTAAAGGTTTTCATACAATAATGTATCTTTTTTCTTATACTTTTATGTCGCCGCGCAAACTATAAAGGGTTTAATTTCGTTTTATAAAATGTGCAGCATCGAAGTCTCCACTATTCTCATTTTGATCGACTGGTTATTTTATAGTAGGAAATTGGCTATAATGCACTTTCTTTAGATCTACTTTTTAGATTTAATTTTAATTTTTTTTTGTTAAAGTTAAATATTTTTATATAAAATATAGGGTTTCCTTTGAGTCTTATTATAAAAATCTCATGTTGAATTGACGGATAACAATAATATCAACGATATTAAGAAACAGTAGCTTACCTGGCACATATCCATAGGCGTATTCAACCTTCTCTCAAAATGCGGTTAATATAATTAAGTACAAAATAATTGCAGGAAAGATGTTGTATTACTGTTAGTGCTGCACCACGGCGCATTCTTTAGAGATTACGCGGCTTAACTATTGCATTTTTACTACGTATTTTTTAAATAAGGCACTATCCTGGTTAGGGTCTCTTTATTCTTTATAGTTTTTTGGAAAGTATTGAATAAAGCAGAGTAGTGGAAGGGGATCTACATGAGGTTTGTGGATATATGAATGATTCCAGAAAGTAAAGAACTTAAAGCTCGCGTTGGCAATTGAATTATAAGTCTGAGGTATTCTCCTGTATTAAGATCTTTATGTGCCATTGGGTTACACCTAGAGCCACTCTAACAATTTAAGCAGGAAAAAGATGTAGGTTTAAAAATGCCAAAATTATTACTTAGGAAGTCAGTGTTCTTAAAAACTTTAAATTTTTCAAAAGTATAGCATGCAAATAAATTTTCTGAAAATCTCACGCCTGCGAAGACCGTACTGCCTTCAAACTAGTTAACGATAAGTTTTTTAAAGTCGCAGGAAAGAAGTCCGCTGCTCTAGCGGAGCATACGTTTCAAGGACGTCGAAATTAACAAATGCAGGTAATTAAAAAGTGATTATTAAAACAAAAGAGGCGTGAGTCACAAAGGAATTAAAAAACCTAGACTTTTTTTAAAGAGAATTAGTAGCAGAAGAAAATATGCAGAGCTTCTTCACTAATTGAGTAACTAAACATGAAAGTTTTTCTTAGTAAATATAGCTATCTCGCAGATCCCATAGTTGTATAACGTAAATAAGAACATTTATAATTTAAGAACCCATCATAAATTTCCTGCGAAGAAGAGAACTGGCAAGAACTGGTAAATTTAATTAACAAAATAAGACGCGATCTACTACCCCGGAAAATAAGAGGCCTTAACTTGTTAACTTCTTTAGTTTAAACAATACAATCATATTAGTACTTTTATTAGTAAGATTTCAATTTAAAAAATATAAATTGTCTTGTCATTCTTCATAGTATAGAAAAGCCTAAGGCCTGGTATACTTAACAAAGACAATACTAATATTCTGCCAAACTCACATATACTGAGTTCCATACTGAGATTGAAATTGATGTACCTGCTGCCCAGCTGGGAAAGGTTTATACAATAAGTTAAACTTAAAAAGTCCACTACTAACAAAAACTATGATTATAACAAACCATTAAAATTTTGAGAATGTATATTTTGCGGAATCTGGTGGTTGCCAGGCTCGAGTTGTGGCTGTGGAACGAGTTGATACGGCTGTTGTTGCTGAAACATATCCTGAGGAGCAAACTGGTAGTAATAATACGGGTCGGAGCCCATGCCCGTGGGAACAGTAGCACCAGGCATTGTAATAGCAGACTGGTGGTGGAGCGCCTCCTCCTTAAACATTTTTAACAATACATTTTTAAAAAAGCATATCAAAAAATAATTACAGCTCTCTTAGCTTTGATATCATCACGAGGCACAATATCTATCAAAAAATCATACATATCGCATCTCGTTACAGCCGTGCCTATATCAATTTTTTGTAAAGTGCGTCTTTTGTTTTCCTCAGTGTGGGCCCAAGCCCGAAGTGAGAGCTCGCAAATAAAAATTTCTAAAGCTTTTGAAAACAATATTGGAGCTTCGGCTAATAAAATTTGTTAAAGGTGAATCGGACCACCAATGATGGATGAGGTAGTAAAAACCTGAGATCATTTTAACATTTTCATCTAACTTCATTATTTTCTTAATTCTTGCCAGAGGAAGAATTTGGTTTTTAAAATCACAGACTCCTTGTACTTCTGCAAGCTAATAAGTTTAATGCCTAAAGTTTCAAAAATTTAGTAGTAAAAACTACAAGAAAACCAAACTTGATTGCTCCAAAACTGACGAAGCTGGTTTTGGGTAGTCGACTGTACAACTTGGGCAGGTAAAGGAAAGTGGTTGTCCATGTCAAATATTTTTTTCTAGTCAATAAAAATTAAGTTAAAGACAAGATTGCAATAAAATTTTGGACAAAATGTATATATATCTATATATATATTTAGAGCTCAAAAAAGACCCCGGAAGCCGAAAACTGGTCAATGGGATAAAATAGCCCACAAAGATGCCTGAAGTGTGCGACGACGAGAATAAAACAACAAATGGCAACAAAAGTAGGCGAGCCAATCACAAATAGGTGCACCCACACTAAGCAAAGAGCTGTTATTCGAGTCTCTTAAATGTCAGAACCACCGCATTTTAAACAAATTATAAAACGGAACGGAAATGTAAATTAAGATATCTAAAGCAACTTAAAACTATTTATATTTACAATAGTAGAAAAATATAACAAAAAGTTGTTATAAAAACAAAATATAGGGAGTACACTGCAGTCAAGTAAATGCTCTTTTCGACGGACAATTACTTTTAAAAAGAAATGCCTCTCATTTAGTTTTTAATACGACCAGCGAGTAATAAAGGTTTGCCACGGTTACACGCACTGTGACAAGCTTGTTTAATACGTGCAGAAGTTTATGCAAACTTATCCTTTAAGTTCACGCGCATACATATTTTTTTAAAAGACCACTTTTAGAAGAATTTGTTTTAACCTCTAAAGTAACTGTAAATATAACCGTTAAAGCGGTTTTTAATATAAGGGATAGTCAAAAAACACAAACTGTTACTATTTTAAGATAGTATAGTTTTTTTTACAAGTATAAGGGTATTGATAAGGAAAAAAAAATTTCTATTGAAAATACACTTAAAAAGAATGAGTTAAACCAAAATAATAGAGATAATACTTAAAAGTGGGGGTGCAGGGGAGCAGTCAAAGTTAATATATGCACAAACGAAACGGTTAAAAAGACTAGAAATAAAAAACTAAATTAAAAACTAAAGGCAATATGTTAAAAAAATTCTTTTGATGAAACTGACGAAAGGTTTGAAAATATTATTTAAGAGGCAGATGTTACCTCTTGAGTTGTATTTTACAGTAAAACTTTTGGCAAACGTCCTTCTTTAAGGTTTAACACACCAATATTTTGCGAGGCATAGAAAATATACTAAGCATAAATATGTCGAAAAATTTAATTCGCAAAAGAAAGTCCTGTCCGTAACTTTTATAAATTAAACCTCCAGGTTAAATTTTTTTTAAGAGACAGAATAGTTTTAATAGAATAGAAATTATAGAGAACAGTTAAAGTAGTAAATAATACTTCATATACGTCGTTCTGTTGTTATAAAAGCAGTTATTGCCATTTCTATTACTCTGAACACCTTTCTCAAATCTTTTAAACAGCGAAAAAACCTTTGGGTTGCTATAATGTTACTATTGCAAGTAGGCTAGCTTACGACGTCGCAGTAAATTCTTTTTAGGGGTTTAGGACTCAAAAGGGACAAAATCTTTAACTTATATATTCAAGTTGTGTAAATATTTTCTACTTTAATATGTGATCCCGGCCGGTGTACTTCATTGCCTACGTCGACTTATGTGTTTATAGTGTTATAATCTAAGAAAATACAACAATATTCTATGAAACTAAAAGCGCAAAACTAAACGGAATTAGAGTAATAGAAACTCAGAAACTTAATAAGAATAATAAATAAAGCAAGCTAAGGACTAAAATAAAAATTAAGCATATAATATAACAGAACAACTAAGAGTTAAAGCAAAACAGTTAAGAAAAAAAAGTAAAACAGCGCTTTGTTGCATAGAATACAAAACCTAAAACGCTCCCACCGGGTACCCGGACAATATAAGTCCGCGTGCCTGTTAAATTAGGTGTAAAGTATAGATCTTTGAGAGGACTATAACATATACACTGGAATTTATTACACCCAGTATCATTCCTGTAAAAAGTATTTTTGCAGACTTTTTCAAAGATGCTTCAGCTTTAAAAATATTACAGCAAAGGCATATTAATATAATAATTTTATTAACATAACCAATATAATTAAGAGTCATATGTTTTCAAGAGAATATGGTCTAGTTCTAAAAGTTAGCAACATTATCACGTTTCACTTAAAGATCAAATTTCAAATTGGTTGTAACAACATAAAAAACTTATGTCTACTAGCACTCTCTCTTTAAAAATATATGTATATATATTTCTTAAAAACAAACTTTACAACTTGGAGTGTTTTTTAATAAACCACTTAATGAGTGGTGGTTTTTTGGGATTACACACGAAATAGGAGATTCTACTTTGAAACAGGTTGAACACACTGGCGCGTTCTGTGCACCTTCTGAAGCGATATCAGATGGTAAAGGCCTACTTAAGGTGTAGGATTACGCTTGTCAACAATCTTTTTTTTGTGTTTTTTAAAAGGTATTAATTCTTGCTTGTCTTTAAAAAAAATTTTGGGTTTTCGTTCTGTTGAGCGCTATACAAATCATTTTTTTCCAAACTTTGCATGCGTGAAAGCGAAAAAATTAAAATTCCTATAGACAAGTCCTTTGTATGCATAGAATACCCTGGTTTGTCCAAAAAAATTAAATTTTTTGGTTATATTATAAAATATATTAATAGGCAAAGTTAATAATGTTGAAGCTGCTTTATTAACTTTGGGCGGCAAGGAAAAAATTTTAAAAGTAATCTTTGCTCATTAGCTAATAACCGACATAGTATTTTTAATAATACTGCAGTGTATACGAAGTAGTTCAGAAAATTTGGTTTTAAATTTTGATAGCGACTCAATCTCTCAAGGGGTTTCAAGTGTTTCTGATAAAAAACTTCAATTGTTAGTGAAGGTTTTATATAATCGGTTAAAGTTCATATAAATTCTTATGCTATTAAAAAGCTAACGCATATTGTTTTCATTACTTTTTTTTATTGACAGAAAAAGTAAGGAGTACCAAATCTTTTTTCTGGGCGTGATTGAAAAATGTTATTATTTCGCGGACATATTTGATTTCCATCAGGCACCGAAAAATATAGTAGTGCCTAAAACCCCTCACCCTCTTGGTGGAAGTTTAAGTGGATTTAATTTTATAATGTGTTCAGTTTTTTTTGTCTAGATGACTCAGCCTGGCAAATTAGGGAACTTGTGGCCCCGTATGTAAACGCGTTTCCCTCTGCAAGCTACCTCATCTTTCATTCTTTTATTTTAATTCTCTAATTTTTTTTATCTTTTAGGTTTTTATCCTGATAAGAGACCAGTAGATCTTTTAAAGCTGTAAGTTGTTTAATATCTTATCATATTAAAGATTTAAGGATTTAAGGCAACTGTTTCTCAGTTTACTTATTAGTAATGAGTTATAAAGTTTTAAAAATTTCCGTATAACTATTTTTTTTTATGGTGAAGAAATGGTGAAGGAAATAATACTGCCCGTGTAAGTAACTTAAACTTTTTAGGTGTGTATTATTATTATTTCTCTGTTTTTAAAATAGTTGCTTCAACGAAAAAAACTCTTAGCTACCAAAGCTATTATTATAGATGGCAGTTCCCCCTCACCCACCGTTCCTCCAGCCAATCTTCCGTTTGCCCAAAAAGAACAAGTCGATCTTGTGCGAGAAGTCCCTTTTATAAATTATCAAGTTTGTAAATTTTTTACTTGTCTTTATTAGTTGTTTGAAAAACGTCCAATATGGAGCAGGAAGGCACTAAAGACGCAGTTGCCGACTGCAATCCTTGCTAACTTTAACAAGTTGATTATTTAGTATCCCATTTAAAAGTAGCTCACCAAGTTTGCTAATTAGTGTTTTACCGTATATCGCCTATTTTGTCACTTCTGGCCCCTGGCGTAATCTCTGGATCAGATACAACTGCGACCCTAAAGACGAGAGCAATAAAGGCCTCCGCATGTGCTTTATTTATTGTTATTTCAATAAAAAAAAAATTTCCATACCGATAACTTCAGTTATCAGAGTTTTGATTTTCGATTTCCACATCAAAACCAAGAGTTGAAAAGCCTGACAGATAACTTAAACTTGTAAATTCTTTATTAAGTAAAATATTAACGAGACAGTAAGTTGCAGTTCACTTATGAGGGGTCCAGAGAAGACGGGATCCTACAAATTTTGTTTGAGGGAGCCTCCACATAAGCGTCAGGTTTTTTCTTACATTGCCTCAAATACCCTTATCGGATCCCTTTTGCTTACAAGTCCGTTTACCAACTTGTTGACATCCATGACGTCGCCATTCAGCGTATTTTGGCAGAAGCTGCATATCCCAGCGTCTATGACGTTAGAGGGAGCCATGCTTTACAAGTTAACCTCTGCTATTATCCTTATATTTTTTAGAAAAAGTACGGCTGGTTTTGCCAAGAGACTCTAAACTTGGTCAGACAGAAAATGAAAAATATATTCGAGTATTCTTTCCGAAGTATGTTTATTTATCTTTGGTCCTGTTGGCTACCGCTTCACAATTCCGTATTTGTGTTGTAGAGGATGAAGGTTATAGCACTATAACCGGAGAGGTTTTTATAAAATATCTAATCCGAGGAGGGTGCAGACTTACAATTCGCATAACAGACTTCTCAACAAGCAGAAAACGACGTGTTGAAGTCACTGTTTTCGGAATCCTGTCATGAAGGAAAAGGTCCCTATTATTCTCTGCTTAACTGAATTAATGGGTTTGGAAGGTCGTCGTATGGCTTAGATCTAAACGTTTTTGGTCAACCCTTATCCAGTTTGCTGACATCCATTCCATCTGACGAAGAGGTCTTTAACCTTTTTAAAGAAGACCAAGACAGCAATGGCGAGAGAGTCTTCGAACAAAATATATAAGCGCTTAAATATATAATATAATGGGGTTAAGGTGTTTTGGTTTCCTATATCTCTTTTGTTGATCCTTTTTTTTGTTCAAAGACAGAGATAATTTGAACTTTTGTGAGGTTTCGAAGGGCGTAAAAATCACAGCAGACAATATTAATGTATGTAGGAATAGACTAAAACTGACCGAGCGACTTGTTGCGCTGCCCGCGTAACCGCTGTTCGTGCATCGGTTCATATGCAAACTGTGCGTCTTTTGCGGTGGCACGCCACCGACGAAGCAAAACGTACTAGAGTTGCTCCCTCCAAACACTTTTCCTAGCCTTAAGCATGTAAAGGCCTGGGATCCCGCATTTTTCACAAAGTTGATAGAGTCTAGCATGCAATGTTGGTTAATGACTCTAGGAGACCTCGGATTCTGTACCCGGGGCCACGGATTGTCAGGTGTCTAGACCCACTCTACTACGCTATCGTTCGTACCTTCGGGACAGTCTCAGATACCCATTAGAAGGGAGCTTTAGTGTCACTTGTTTCTTATACCTCAACTAAGCAGTCTGCACTCGAAGATACTGAGCAGTTGTAAAAGTTTTCAAATTTTATAAATTTATAAAAATAAACGTTTGGGAATTACATTCTTCTGTTGAAGCCTTTTGCCCTTCAACCTAGCGTATACCGTTGCCAACATATGTAGCGGTTCCTAATCAGATAAGCTATGAAATTGGTGTAACTTTAATTAAAGGCAGCTAAGTTTAAAAAAATTTGTCCACATATTAGTTAACTTTTATATTTTTAATAATACCCCCTTTATACTCCCTTTTTACCTAAGTGAAGTTGAGTTATTGTTCATTGTTTTGAGTTTCAGTACCCGAGTACATATACATATTTCATTATACATATTTCATTAAATTTATTACCCCTAATTTAGTGAACTTTACACAAGTTAATTAAAAAATATATGGTGTATATAACTAAAAAGGCGAAAGTTAACTAGTTTTTGATGGCAGGGACAGTATATATTCTGAGTTGAAGGTGTCATATATACGCCTCCAAGAGATGTAAACTGTTATTAAACGAATAACCGCAAAATTGATTCGGCAGATAGTCAAGGGTTTACGTAGTCATAGGGGTAGCATTCTATTAACTGAGTTCATAAATACTAATTTATCTCTACATTATTTTCGGGCAAAACAGGTTATGGCTTTATAGAAAAAAACTTTAAAATATTGTTTTATTTGCTGAAGCCTTGAAGACTTGACAGTTTTACCTTTCCTTTTAAAGATTTAACAGTGATTGGAAAGAGATGTGAGCCTTGTGGTGTAGAGAAGCAAGTTTTCATGACTTATGAAAGCAGTAAACCCTATTGGAAAAGTCAAAAAACTTAAGGAACTTAAAGGCTACTAAAGAGTGTATTGCCTTTTATGCTCTCGCTTTCACCTCCCATCCAGCTCATAATATTTTTGCCTTTCACTTTTTTTGTCATTAATTCGTTTAAAAGTTTAACGCAATGCTTTAAATAACCATTTTTTTCCGATTGGATAACTAACTTTATCACGTGACCAATTTTTTTTTTAAAGACTAACATACTATAGGTAAGCTCCCACTAGAGATATAAAGGTTAAATTATAGTGGTTATCCAAAATGTCACACAGCCGATCTTTATGGGCTGTAGCTCTCAGGTACTTTATTATAGCCTCGGGGTTAAAACCGCTGTGTTTTTACGTAATTATAAGTAGACTGTGATCTTGGAAGCTTATAAATAATAGTCTTCAAAGCTTAAAAAGATAATTTAAAGCTTATTAAGAATTTTTGCTCGATGAAATACAAGTTTATAGGTTTGAATAATTGTTGTATTAACTATCAACCTATTTATAACGGTGTTATACTTTACAATTGGCAATTGCAGATATTGGCGCTAACTTGACGGGTTTTTATTTATCAAATAAGTATAATATATAACTTGAATACGAATTTTTTTTATTAGATGCGATGTTTAAGGGCATTTATCATGGGAAAACATGCCATCCTGGTATGCTTGACACCTATCATACTTTATATATCGTATAGTAGAAAACTACTTAATCCGGTAATTTTTTGCACTTTTTTAGGCGATCTGTCGAGTGTTCTTAAGCGCAGTTTTAATAGCGGGTTAGAAAAACTGATCATAACAGGAGGAGATTTAAAAGAGAGTGAAAAAGCACTATCTCTCTGCTACTTGGACGGTAGCTAAATCTCTTTTCTTTGTTAATTGATAAATTAGTTAGTTTAGAAAGACTTTACTGCACTGTTGGTTGTCACCCAACACGTTGTTTGGAGTTTGAGACATTCCCTTCTAGCCACAGTTCCGAAAGTTATTATCATAATCTTCTAGCTTTAGCCAAATTGGGTTAGTCTTTTTTGCTTAATCTAATCTTTTGCATTTTTTTTACGTGCACTTTTTATTTGGCCCTTAAAGGCATCCAGCAAGGAAAAGTTGTTGCCTGTGGGGAGTGTGGGCTCGGTTTCTATAGTTTCTGTCTTATCTTAGTTATTAATACCGTACAACATAAGATTATTCGGATCGTTTGCGATTCTGCCCTAAACAAGTTCAAATGAAGTTGTTTCCTTTACATATTGTTATTAGTTTATTTGTTTAAATAGTTAAATAGAAAAAAATTCGTTAAGACTGTTGTTTTTAAACGTAAAAGTCTTGTTGAAAAGTTAGCCATTCTTTTTTGTAAACACAGATACTTTGAAAAACAAGTTGAACTTGCCGGAGAGTTAAGCTTACCTCTGTTTCTTCACTGCCGCAACTCGTTCAACGACTTTTTTGGTACCAATAGTTACCTTTTAAAAGGTTAACTGAACACCGAGAGAGCGGTGGGGGGCACAGAGATTTTGAATAGAAATCGCGACTTGATTATTGGTGGGGTTGTTCATTCTTTTGACGGTAGCCTAGAAGAGGCTTTGCGCTTCGTTGAGTCCGGCTTTTTTATTGGCATAAACGGCTGGTACGCTTTCATTCTTAATAAAATACCAAATATTACTCTTAACTTGGAAATCTTGTTTGCAACGATTTATTAATGTTACCAATAAATGCTCGCGGACTTAGTTCGTTAAAGACGGTTGCTAACCTGGAAGTCGCTCGGGCCATCCCTGCGGAACATTTACTTTTAGAAACGGGTAGTAGTGTTTATTACGGATGTTGGTACAGCTATTACCTTCCGATGCTTAAAGACAGCCCCTGGTGTGAAATTCGTCCTTCCCACTCCAGTTATGCTCTTGTTAAAACAAGGACTTCCAATACTGAAAAACGCGATAAAAGGAGGTGGTCCGAAGATTGTCAAGTGAAGAGCAGAAATGAACCGTGCAACATTGTGTATTCCCATTCTCCTTCTTAATTCTTTCGTCTCAAGTTGTTTTAATTTTCAGTCAGGTTTTGGAAGTTATCGCGGATTTAAAAAATGTTGATCCTGTCGAGTTGTCTGAAACCATATATGAAAATACAGAAACACTATTTTTTAGAAAGAAAAAGCAATAGGGAGCACTCTGATTCTTATAATTGCTGTAATAAAAATTTTTAGAAAAAAAAAAACTAACTTTTAGGAGAAGGTAGTTTTTTAAGAAAGTTGCAGTTTTCTGGAAGTCACCTAGAAATCGGCTTAGTTCTTTATAGATTCTTTATCCTTTTTTTACAGCTTTAAATTTTAATACTCATGAACACCCATACTTTGGTAAGTGCTCAATAGGAAGAGGGCTTGTAAGTACTAACTACGCTTTCCTGCTTCGAAAGCTCCTTTTAACTATACAGGTTAGAGTATAAAATACGCCAGTTACTTAGTGAGGCTCAGCGTTAACAGTACGGGATATATGGAGAGCTTACCAAGTTTAATTAATAAATTAACCATAGATCGCTATTCAGTTTATAGTTATATGAGTTTATGGTTTGCGATATCCATTTTATTATAGTAACAGGTAGGTTTAAGAGGACAAGGGTTAGAGGACATACTACGGTCACTAGTTTCGATTTATATAGTTAAGATCCTACTCTTTGTTAATAGTGTTACATAATACCCTATTTTAATAACACTCTTGTTAAGTTAAAATAATAAGACATTCAGACTACTAAAATTGTTCAAACGCTTTTATATATCTATGGTATTTTCGTATTTCTTAATAATTTGATGCTTTCAAGCTACTACTTAAAAAGATTTTATTTTTTCAGATTTAGGTTTATTGTTTTTTAATTTCTTGGTTTAATCCCAATTGTTTAATAGTCCGCAAAAAAAGATAACTTATGGCATACAAAATAAAAAATATTATAATAAGGTGTGGCTAGAGTATATATCTTTCTGTCACTGCATGTTTACCTTTGTTCAGGTTTTAAGCGAGTTCTTAACTGATCTAGAGGTTCAAATCCTCTAAAGGTAACATTCTCCTAAATTAAAGTAGTACATTGACAAATATTTACTATCGTATATTCTTTATTAAATTAATTGAGTTTTTTAAAGTAATTTAGCTTTTTTAACTTTTTTAAATATTTATTATTAACGAGCATGGTCAAGTCATAAGCCATGTTTCAAAATTTTAAATTTAACTATAAAAATTTTTTAATGAAATTTGAAAAACTTTATCAGTATAAAATAAATTTTTAAAAAAAAGATTTACTAATAAATTTATTGTAATAGAATAATATAAACACCAAAAACAAAGAAAAGTCTTATAAAGTTAAGCTGCATAGATATTTCACACAGAGAGAAATTAAAAAAGACAGTTGCTTTTAGTAGCGAAGACGAGAAGGAGAATAAAACCTAAGAAGGCGATTACGAAACACAACTCGACGTTTTTTCTCTTCTTGGTTTTTTAACTGTACATTCAACATTTTCTTAATTTTATACATATTGCATAACTAATTATAGTAATAAGTAAATTTATTTTTAAAAAAATTAAGGACCGTGACTTTTTCAATTCCAACCTAATTTTATTTTTTTTACGGCTATTTTTTTTATTTATAATTATGGCTATAATAACTGCTTTTTTAAATTATTTTTTCAATTATTGTTCTGTCGTTGTTGAATACAAACGTGGCAAAAGTTCTTTGATAGATTGTTAAATTAAATAAAGTGTGGTAAAATAGAAGAATTGTGTTCCGTAATTGCTTTACATAGGTGTGAGCATTCAGCGAGAGCGATATAAGTCATTAAACTTCAAAATCTCTCTTATCGCACCATCAAGCGATACAAAGTACTTAAAGTTACGAGGGAGAACTACGCAACCGGAGAGTCAACCCGTTGGGAATGGAACACACAAACTTGGGTACGCACGTCAGTGCTCTTAACGGCTAAGTTACGACTGCAACTCAATTTGATATGGCTTTACGCATTTTACTTGCTAAAAAAAAAGTTAATTCTCTTCGGCTATTTCGGATTACGCTCTGGTCGACCTCGCACTGTTCAGCCCAGCAGTCATATAAGCTGTTGATGGCCTTCGAACTAAATTTCTTTAAGGAATCCTAAAACGTCATCATTATGCATTTAAAAAATTAGATAAGGAGAAAAGCTGCTTCTAGGTCGGAACCCAATTAATAAGCATGAGAAATTCTTTTTACAGAAGAAAAAATTTAACTCTCAAGTAACAATTAAATTAGCAAAATGATAGATAATAAACGCATCAGCTCTATGCTGCCGAAAAGGGTTCTGTTATTTAACGAGGTCGTACTTCTTCCCCTGCGATATCTAGTTGAACGTTTCTTATTTTGGAACCGCACTAGCATAAAAATTCTAACTAATAATTACTTTCTCACCAATTAATTATATCAAGTTTTTAACTTTATACAATAGACCTAACATTTAAAAGATGAACTTAAGGATGTCAGTGATAGGTTAAACTTGGAATTTTACATTGTTATTTTTTTGGTTTATTTTGGTAAAGTGTATATAGAAAGATTAATAGAGTTTTCGTCCTTCCCCCTCTGTGCTCCCCGAATAGTTTTTACTTACAGTCGACAGGCTTGTTAAAGCAAATTATAATATTTAATATTAATTTTTGTTATTAATTTTTTTTTGTTATAACCACTTTTTTTTATTTTTTTTTATTTATCTAAGATTTATTTGTTTAAAAAATAAGTCTTTCTACTGAAGAAGAGCTGCGAACCTTTATTGCTAACTTATTAGCTGTCAATGTCAACGAAGAACTCAGAAAAGAGTTAGAATTAGGAAAAGCTAAACTTAAATGACCACATAAGAACTATTCAGAACAAACTAAAGTCTAAGAGAGATATGATGGCTAATAATAGTGTTAGCTTTACGAATCTGGTTCAGCCATAGACGTTTAAAACATTAGAAGAAAACGAGGGCTTAGAATTAAACAATAACGGAACTTTTAATGTGAAGTAGGGCTTAGAAATAATAATAATAGTAATAATTTGTAGTAATATTAATAGTTTTTCTAATAATAATATAGTCGAGAGCGACCACATTATTAGTACAAAAATAATTTTAGTGGTAAAAATTTGTAATATTCTTAAAAGCTTAAATAAGAGATGAGAGTAGTGAAATTTACGTAGACTTGGAAAAGCCTGTAAAAGCTTTACAGCACATCGTAGTCGTTGAAATGGGCAGCGCTTCTGGCACTACTTCCAACAAAAAAGAATGTTTAAATGAAATGTATCTCGTAAAAGAAAGATTCCCCCCGTTATTCTTTGTGAAAAACAAAAGTTGCCATTAATACAACTTTTGCAAACTAACGGCCTGAATATCTCACTATCAAGAGATACCCACCTTGGAACCAAGATATTTCTATTGACAGCTAACTATTACTGTTCTAAAACAGCGATCATGCGAGCTCAGAAGTTTCAATTCTTTTAATATCAACTACCTGAGGAAAAGCCTTAGCATTTGTCCTCCGTGGGGTTTACTGCGAACTCGATTTTTAAACCATTGAGGAGGGTTTGCGCGCTCAGGGCGTCACACCCCTCGAGTTGCGAAAATGCCACGGAGGGCACAGTCAATGTTGAACTTAAGAAGGGTTTTTTACCGCTAGCTTTAGTACGTATACCTAGAACTGAGACAAAAGGTGTTAGAACTGAAGACTTTCTCTCATCTTCAAATTAGAATGGAGAATTTTGGAAGAGTAACCGCGTTGGCCAGTGCCGTCGTTGTCAGACCTTTAGGCACACCACAAGCTTTTGCGCTGCGGCCCCGATGCGTTAAATGTGGGTGCGCCACATGACAGCCTTATGCATGCAAGTACGAGATAGTCCTTGTTGTGCAAATTGCGGAGAAGCGCGCACTGTGAAGGCTGCAATCACTTACTGTCCACCCACAAAGTTTACTCCGTCGGTGCTTACGCGCCATATCGTCACCCTGGGGATCTCTTACGCGTCTCGTTTGAGGACATATCTCATCAAGAATCGCCCACTATTCCTTTTTAGTTTCTAAAGTTCCTAGCCACGCTTCTACTGCTAAACTGATCAGCAATAGTAACAACCACAGCCGAAATTACGGCACAGCTGTTAGCAATTTAAACAACGAATTTATCCAACATACTTGGAACTGTGACGGGACTAAAAATCTGTTTGCAACGGTTTTCAAACCAAAGCCGCGTCGCTACATATGACTATTATTCTAGAATGCGATGGTGTTTGGAGTAAGTAGGTTGAGCTCCAGGAACTGTTACAAAGTAAAAGAATTGATGTATGCACCATCAACGAGACCTTCCCAAAGTCGCATTTAACACCACTCGATACCTCAGCTAGCTCTACAAAGTTCCGAGGCAGTGGGAACTTTTCTAAGGCAGACCAGGGGTTCTTGTCTGTGCTCGCTGTCTACGAATCCCCTTGGAAGCTACACCGCTCTTGGATATGGACGCCATTTTGGCGAGCGACTTCTCTGCTGTTTGGTGCAGGGGCCTCAATTGCAAGCATCCTTCATGGAACAGCCGAGCCGATAACTCGAAGGACCACATCCTTAAGGTCTATACTGCGCACGGGCTGTGCAAACTAGGTCCCCAGCGACTAACACACTCGGCGACTACAGGCACAATGGACGTACTGAATATCACCCTACTAGAAGATGTACGTCTCACAATGGGAATTGAAGTGCTCCACGTACTGTCCTCCGATCACCTTCCAATTATTCTCGAGATGGGCGACGAGAAGAACACATTGAAGCTTATCAGCCTCCCTTTTACCAACTGGGACGGATATACCGAGATTTTAGAGACCGCTATCCCTTTGTGTCCGTCAGTACCACCTACACCCGCTCTGCTGGATGACGCCGTCGCCTTATTCGAAAGCGCATTGGCCATAGCTCGCACTACTGATACAACAACTTGTGAAGTAACGTACCGCCCCAATAGGCTACCTGATAAAATAAAGTCACTTATCTGCCAACGCCGACGTCTTATCTGATTGGCCAAGTTGTCGAAGAGCGCCGAAGACAAACTTGCACTTAATCGACTGCACAGTTGCATAAGAAAGAAGCTCATAGCCCATTATAGCAATAAATGGGATGCCAGGCTCACCATATATCCTAATTAGACCATCGCAGTCATTCTACCTTCTGTTAATTAGTTCAAAATATTATAAATCGGGGACTTGCACCGATAGCGCCCCTTTGTGAAGGAAATATAGTAGGAGAGTGATGAAGACAAAACTTTAATTTTTTTGCTACACAAAACGTGACAGCTGCTCACTTAACTGCCAATGATGCGTTCCAACTGCTGAGCTTCCTTCTTCCCGATGTTCACGAACCATTTGAACTAGCTAATGTTGACGAGGTTCAAGCGATTGCCGAAGAGCTACCCAAACGAAAAAAAAGTCTGGCCCCGATGGCGCCACTATTGAGTTGCTGAAGAAATTGCCATCACCAGGGGTGCATTATCTGTGCCTCCAGGTAAAAGCTGCGATGGTCCTCGGCGTCTTTCCGGCCGAGGGGAGACGGCGGCTGTAGTGATGCTATCAAAGACACTCAAACCGGAATCAGCAACTAGCAGGTACCGACCCATCAGTTTCCTGTTAGCGGTCGGCACTGAGGGTGAGGCAGGCCATTTTACTGCGCCGTCTAAAAGAGGTCGTTAATGCTCGGGATGCCACGCCGGAGTTTTAGTTTGGATCCCGGTAAGGACACGCAACAACCCACCAGCGCCTCCGCTTAACTGAGTGAACCACTCGCGCTTTTAACTTTAAGAGGGTAACAGGCCCTGTTCTCTGACGGTGAAAAGGCATTTGATCAAGTTTGACTTGGAGGTCTGCCGCACAAACTACGCACGTTATCCGTTCCTCATGGTCTTTACAATGTGCTGAAGTCATATCTATATGACCGCGTCTTCAGCGCACGCGTGAGAGATACACAGTTGCTGCTGCAATTTCTGACTGCAGGGCCCCTTCTTCCGCCCCTTTAATTTGCTGTTTATATGAGCGACGTGCCCTTGCCTTCAAATCCACCTACACCAATCGCCCTCTACGCCAATGATACGGCCATTTACTCAACGTCGAATTCTCCCGTCCCGCTATGCAAGCATCTACAGCGCTATCTTGATACTCTTGCTAACTGGTGCCGTAATTGGAAAGTTTCTATAACTGCGATGAAGAGCAAATGCGCTTTTAATTACTAAGAAACACGTCCTCTTGTTAGCCCCCTTTACCCTTGATGGCGAGAAGATTCCGTGGTGTTCTCAAGCGAAAGACTTGGGAAATCCTCATCGACAACAAACTTTCCTGGCAGGCGCTCGTGGACTATGTAGTGGCGAAGGTCAAGGCGGCAACTAAGGCGCTTTACCCTTTACTAGGCGGTAATTGTTTATGTCTTACATCCAGTCAACGATAACATACTCGCCTGCTACTTAGACCTACGACTTCTTTACTATGCAGTAATTGTATATGCCTTACATCCAGTCAATGATAACATACTCGTCTGCTACTTAGACCTGCGACTCCTTTGCAATAGCGTCGGCCTTTCAAGTGCTACAGAACAAACTGCTGCGCGCGTTGACAAACTCTCCGTGGTTTGTGCGAGATGAAGCAAATGAAGCTCTTGAGACCAGGACCTGTGGCTGAACCCTTTAACCGTCGTCTTCCAACGTAACGCCAATGCCCTTTACCACAGATTAGCCAGGAACACTAATCGCCTGCTGGTGAGTGTACTTACTTACGAGCCTTGGGACGGAGGGACGGAGTACGTTATCGCCGCCCACGTGACGTGCGTAAGCGCTAGTTTTTGTTTGTTTATGTCAAGAAATAATGACGTCTTTTCGATTGAAGGCTGTTACGTGAGATGTCTGCAATCGCTTCTGATTGAGAGCTCAAAAGTATTCAAAGTTTTCTGACTCGCTCAAGCGCCATAAACTTCCATTTATAAACAAATTGATAAATATAAGGGAGCTCATAGTCGGGGAAGCATGACCAGTAGTGGTGCTGGTCAGTATCTCCAGGCGGCCTCGGGTCTTGTACATAAGGCTACTTATTCCGCTTGTGTTTTTTAGCGGCCTTCCACCACACTAGACCAAATATTGGAGCCCGGGCTGCATATTTCCCGCTTTTCTAGTCCTTCAGCACAGACATTATAGCTTTATATGTAAGCTGGTGAGCACTCATGCTCTAACCCCTACAGAAGAAAGGAATAAAGATTAAGCGGCTTAAGATCTCTTACGAACACCGGCTGTAGTATTTCAGTGCCTAGAGATAAAGTAAATAAATAGGCAACAGATTTTTCCTCTATTTTCTTTCCTTTTTTATTCTTCTTTGCTTGTTTCGCTTACCTTCTTATTACCACAATTTCTTTTTTGCTAAAAAGGCGTCGAACAGGAGATAAAATAGGTAAAATCTCTGAGAACCACTATGTTTTAAAATGACCACCAGTTTTTCATCAAGACTCAGCAACAGCTCACGAAGCAAATCTTCGCGCAAAATTTTGACATTTAGAATTGATCATTGGTCCTTATCAAATCCAGCCTTAACTCCTTAGCCTATTAAAGCCGGTCACAAGAGAAAAAGTCTGCTCTGCATGCTCCAAAAATTTGAAGCAGCTGAAGGCATTCCCTAATAAATGCAGTGACCGATATTGATATGTATAAGTTTTTTTACTCCTTTCAGCTCTATCCCTAGAGAACAAAGCAATTGATATTTTAACCCTTGCAGTCCAATAGACTGGATCTTAAAAACTATAAACAAGTAAACAAAAAGACAGAATGCAAAACTGAGTTCCCTATATCTATTAATAATTAAATATAGATACATATATATATAAAGCATAAATATAATAATTTTCGGGAACAATCTTGCGTTTCTTTATCTAACAGGATTCCTTAAATCATGGCCACCGAAACAATAATAAAGAGACTTGATAAGAATTTTAAAGATGCTTCTAGTCGCAACATGCGCCAGCATTGGTCTATACTTCGTGCTGAAAAATGAATCATCTCAACTTATATATTGGTACGCGCTGCCTTACATGACAGACCTCGTAGATTAAAAGCCTGGTGTACAATTTCGCGGTAGTTTTAAGTGTTCATAGCCCATTTATAGTTCTTATTCTTTAGAATTTGCTGTTTAATCCCAGTAATTTTACGTATAGTATTAATTTTATTTTAGGTAAGAACTTATAAACTGAATATGAACTTTTTTTTGTTATATTATATTAATGAATGGCACTTCCTGGGGTTTGATAGAATCACCAAACTTTGAATGCTTGACGCTTCTTAATAGGAATAGTTGCAAATATAACTGATGTCTAAGCGCATTTTTTCTGTCTAGATTTTAAGTAGGTAAATTTTCCTTCTAAGCTATATTAAATCGCGCGTGGTCCATTCCTACTACACGTATGTTACCTTCTCTAAAAAAAATTTGTATAAACCTATTTTTCTCTATAGATAACTTCTGGAAACTAGTACATTACTATGTAAAGCACAACATCCGAACCCTTATTAACTTTTAGGCGTTATTAGTATTTTAGTTCAATAAATTTGCTGCCTTATTTAAATTTATTGTTATAAACGCTACATTCAACTTGAGGAACCACCCAAGTGGGGGTTTTATTTGTCAAATGTAGAGGTTACAGGCCAAAAATCCTCGAGAATTTACATATATAAAACGTAATATAACTTAATTAAAAAATATACTATAGACAATAGAGTGATATCATATAGGTTGATCGGCAAACTAAATCACTGTAGACGCACCAAAATCAACCGTACAGAAAAAGGAAAAAGTTTATATAAAAACAGCAGCCGGTGGGCTCCATTTATTGTATATGCACGTGAATTGTGGGCCTTAGTTTTTTTTGGGTTAGATTTATTCGCCCAACAAAAAAGATGTTTGAAGCGCCAATGTAATGAACAGAATGGACCCAAATTTTTTGCACAAAAAAATATGTATATTGCACTAAAAAAAATTCTTAGTAACAGCAAGTAATAAAATATAGAAAAGTACAACTTAACCCCTTATAGGTTACTGGTTATTATGTTTATCACTGTCGCCTAGGTTCAATTTAAATGAAACAATCTCTGGTAAGTTTGAGTTTCATGTTCTAACGGATTAATCAGGAACCAAAAAAACATAAAAAATCGGTAAATTTAGTTACCAGTGAACGTAAAACAAATCTATTTTAAGCCCCAGAGTTTTGTCTTTTAGGGGTTAACACAGTATTTACTCAGTATATCGCCTTATTTTAAAACGAGCGGTCACTGCGGATTAATGCCGCACGGTAAGTGAAGTGTTTTTTTTAACTTAATGAAAACTGGTTAAGAATCGGTTTTAAAAAATCCACGTAAACAATATTTTAAATAGTATCATTCTATTCAGCAGGATTATAGATTTTAAACAAATTAAAATACAAGAAACTCGTAAAGTGATGTTTGAGAGTTTTTTTTTTATCAATTTCCATTTTATTGTCACTGCGTTTTTAGATTTAAAATTTTTTAATAACTAAGAAACAAATGCTTAGACAAATGTTGTTAGGCAAATTTTTAGGTTTTTAATCTACTGAAAATTAGAATAGAATTAAAACTTTCTACGTATTGGGGAAAATTCTTTAGGTGCGGGCTCTGACCTGCAAAAAAAAGTTGATTTTCAGCAAAATGACGTACCATTAGCAAATATATTTTGGGTTACTGTAATTCTTAACCAAACCTTCAAGTGGTACCTTCCTGAGTTCAGCTCTGTTTTGAGGAATGCGTTGTACTGCGGAAAGCTTCAGTATCTTAAATTGTCGTATCAAAAGGAATGCTTATAAAACAAGCAAAAACCAAAGTCTCGGTTACACAACTGTGGGTTTAGTAATACTGCACGAATCTAGGTGTTCTGCAGTACCATCACACCATATAAATATTACCTTAATTGAATGAATGTATACAAATTATACGACATACCTTAATAAAATTTAAAAAGAATAAAAATATATTTTCTTAACTAAATATAAAACTAATAAAAAAGGTTTTTTTATTGTACTATTAAAGCTTTTTCCCTTTAGCTAGACGTTTGCGTTGACTCTTTTGGTCTAACGGTATTAGCTTTGCCTAATCAGGTACCTCAACAAGTTTTAGTCGTATCTTCATCCACAGGACATGTTTTCATTGCAGATATTAAATAAAAATAAAGTCAAGTGCATTTGGATTCAAGTGTTTCATAAAATAATAGTCATGATTCATACGCCTTACCTAGATTTTCTAATTACCGAAATTTTTTCATTTCTCTTCTTTTTCTTTATAAGACAGTTTACAATCCGCGCTAATTTCCTCTTGTAAGACTTTCTTGTTATGGTTGATCGCCGAAGAGGAAAGATCCATTGTCGCAGAAACACTGATGCAACTTCACTTAATATTTTATAACTCGGAGATTCAGGCTCTCTGTCTTCTGACCATTTTAATAATTATTGAACACAATTAAGAAATTGACACACTGGAAGTCTTTTTCGAAGCGTGTGTTCCTTTTTTATTAGCCTTGTTTCTTCGAGTCCATTATTTCTTTATATCAGTTAGAATTCTTTAACACCCATTGCAAAAAAAATAATTGAGAAATCTGTAGTACGGTGACCAACTTCTGTGCTCTAATTCTCTAAGAAAAGTTGAGATGCTTTAAGATACGTACTTTCGTCTTTACTTGTCAGTAAAGCATAGGAAATCGTGTTTTAAAATTTTAAAGACACATTTTCCCAAAGTATTTTTCTATATTTTTTAAACCAAGAGAGAAAGACGTTACCGAAAATATATGTAAGTCCCTGAGTAAGTAATGGATTCGCTGGCTTCGGCAAGGAGTATTAATGGTTTCCAAGATAGATGAAAAATACGTGAAGCTTCGAAAATAAAGCTGAAGTCAGTTAAACTTTCACCCTTGCAGACAGCGATAGCAAATGGATGAAAGACGTGGTTGTTACTCGTCCCCAGGATCATTAGGAGATGTCCGAGCAATGTTATGAAACCTGGCGTCAAACTGTACCATTTTTTAATCTTTTAAAATTTCCAGTAGCCCTGGAGTCGACAATACAACTTTTATATTTTGTTCATCTGGATTTAATTACAACAAACAGTGATAGTTCAGCACAAGAAGCTCGTCTTTAGAATCAGAAAAATTTTCTCCTTGTTTCACAGTGTTAATTTCAGCCCCAAATAGGGTCGGGATTTCCATACTTAATTTTTGACTGTTTTAAGTCTGGTTAACTTTGAATTTATAGAGGCCCATAACATTTTTCTGTTAATAATGGCTAATATGGTAGTGACTATTAAAAACCTTATTTTTCTTTGATTTACTTTGACTTTCAATTAAATTTCTACTACTTAGTTCCTTATTTTTATAAGGGTTATTATAAGGGTTATGCCAAAAAAAGCGAAATTTTTTCACTTGCAGAATGCTATAACAAGTATAATCCAGCTGGACACCCTTTAACTAACAACGATACTCGTCTTTGCATCCATCTTATATATTTTTATAAGATGCTTTTTCCTTATATTCTTTGATAAAACTAATTTCTTTGCTTCTTCTGCTGAATTAAATTCTTGGCGTTTAATCTAAACACAATTTGGTTGCCGCTTTCTTTTTGGTTCCGGAACACCATTTTATTTATTTTCCTCGAATTTTTCGATATAGTTAATTCTACCCATGTTTGCGTGGTCACTCTGAAAGGTATAAAATATGAAAACAAAATTTTTTTAATGAATAACTAATCGCACTTCACTTATTTAACATGAACAGAAGTTTACTAATAAAATTTCGTTAGGTTGATTTACACTGCAACAGGCCGCAACCGAAGGTTTTATGCGCAAGCGCAGTGCTAACCGAATATTTTACTGTTGTTCGTTGAGATCGCCTGTCGAGCATTCCCCTCTTCGTTCTGAAATAGTTTATTTTATTTATCTTTGGTTTAACCATTTTTAGCGTATGAACGTTGGCGTGAGTAAAATCATTTCGGTCGTGAATTATTACTACTCTATGCGTGAATTCTTCTCTTACAAAAAACCTTTTTTGCGTACCACTATATATTATCCTTTTTTTTTTTTTTAATCCTCGTATCATAAACACTTGTAAGGTCTGCTGCAAAAGCGAGTCTAGTTAGAGACATTTATTGACGTTTCAGATTTTTATATAAAGTATAAAGATTTTATGGAGCTTTTGGGCTACCTTCGACCGTACCTTCTTCCCTCATTTTAATAAGTTATTTAAGGCGTTATAACGTTTTAGCTGTCCGACAAAAGCTAGAGCAAAGAAAGTTGGTATGATAATTATTAATTAGATTATAATTATAGTTTAAGAAGCCAACATAATAAAAGAAAAGCTATTGCACCCACATTTTTTCTAACATTTCTGAGTAGGCACTATGGTAGGTAGTGACATCTTCCTTACAGACTTCAAAGTTCACGCTATAGAGCGGAGATTAAGAAAATATATTGGTTCTTTACTGTGGGGTTGGTCGTCTTTATTTTTACTTTAGAGGTAATGAGATCACGCTAAATTACAAAAAAAAAAGTAATTCTAATGATCAGCAATACCTCCAAAATAAATAACCTTTTAGTGCAGTTTTGGTTACGCAAAGCATGCTCGCCTCAGCATAAACCTGGGGCCTAGAGTCTCAACTAACAGTTTTCTATTATAACTTAGTTTTTTAAAAATTATTTAAGCAAAGGGTTTTAACGGGTAACTACATTCTTCATTTGCGTTTCTTAATTTAGCGTGATGCTTCAATAATGTTACTGCATGAGCCGCCTTTAAGCTCATACTAAACAATTAAGGTTTCTGCCGAAGAATACCCATCGTTCTGTACAATTCTCCGTTAAAAATTTTGCTTGCGTCTGATCTTGCGGTATTTTTATGTTGAGGTCCAGCCTTGTTGTATACCTCCAATGTATCATTAAAAAAATCTGAATTTCTCAAAAGAGAAGCCTTTATTAAATTAAATTTGTTATTCCTTTACACTGTAATAAGATTCAGGCTTAAACACAAAAGCTAAAAAACTTAAACTGAGAAAAAATATATCAAAGAATTGATAAAGAAAATAATTTATATTTTACCCTTTGGAAGAGTAACCTTCCCGATCCGATAAATTTTTATTTTTGACGATGGAGAGACGTCCTTACTATGTTTTATTTTCTTTCCATCAGTTGCAGGGTCAATACGTTAACTGCTATGCTGCAATGCAAGAGAAGGATTGGGCGGGTAAAAACTCGCATCGTACTGAGGGGGTTTCCTCTTGGTCCCAAGACGGTTGTGGTTTGTAATTCGGCCGTTTAACTTATACAGCTAAGGAAGGGTGAGACGACTTTTTGTTTTAATATTACAACTAACTAATTTAAACCGTCATTTAGAACTTACGCAAATTTCGCAAACGCCTACAGCGTTAAGTAAGTTATATGTGAAGAGTAACCTTGTTCATCTCGTCCTTCTCTGGTTCCGTGCAGCGGATGCTATATGGACTCTTGTGCTCCTTGTGATAAAACCATTAGATCAACCTAACTAACTACCCGAAAAGAATTTTTTTTATTGAATGTTTGTAGAATAGCGATTGTCTTAATTATTAAACTTTAGAGGAGATTATTAATTTTTAAGTCTAATTTATTTGAGTAAAGCATTCAGAACTTAACCTTTTTTGTTAATTTTTTTTTTTTTTTTAATATTCAGTGACTTCGATCCAATTTTCATTTGAACCTACCGCCACTCTTGATGACTCGTTACATTCTTACCTCATAGACTGGCTGCTTTTTCCCCAAAAATACTTGGAATTTTTAAGATCGCTAGTATGTAATTTTAAGTTTTTTTATTTAACCGTTAACTTTTTAGTATGCAATATTTTTCAGAAAAGTTCTTTAAAAAGTTCAAAAATTTTTAAACTTTTGGAACTATTTTTTATAAAAATTGACGCTTTCAAGACAATTGACAATGTTTTGGATAAACAACCTCTGGGCAGGTTATAATTTATTCTACTTCTTTAAAAAAGTTGTGTTCTATGAAACGGAAGGATTTTAAAGCTTTTTAACCGGTTTTATATTAAGTCAAATTTTTTTTTCAGAAAATTTTAAATTGTTTTTCAGTATCTTTAATATTTTTTTTACTAAGTTGGCTCTTTATTTACTTTTGAAAAACTGTCACATTTTAAAACTTAATTTTTTAACAGAATATATTAAGTATATTTAGTTTAGGGTGTTTATATAATTTTTTTATAAGATCTCTTATATATTAATAACAAGAATTCAGAGTTCCGCAGGCTCAACCTCCAAAAAAAAAAAAGAAACCTTAAGAAAGTTACTTTTAGCTACTGTTGAAGAGTTTGGTCTCACCTTGGACTATTTAGAAGAGCATTTTTGTCTGGAAAAGCAGTTTGAAATTCTTGAAGCAGTCAAAGTAGCCGATAACTTCTGCAGTTAACTTTTTTTTGATATCAATTTTTCTATTTTTAGGATGAATATACCACGCATCCAATATCGATGCTACAGTTTTCAAGGTTAAAGCATTATTATGTATAAAGCAAAGCATCTTTAAAACTATATTATTTATTTTGCTTTACTTATTTACAAAAAGATGCATAGTTCGCACTCTCAACAGAAATGTGTCTCCTTTGCAACTGTTGGGCGTCCTTCTTAAAACTTCCGAAACGGAAAACGGTTTTTTTTTGCGTTGCATGGTTACAGTTATAAGAAAACTATACTTGCGTGCTCTCGGTGACTCTCTGAATCTTTTTTTTTTGAGTGGATTTTATTAAGCTACTTAGTTTAACTATGCTACCTGCTGGCGTTATAATATATGTGCCTCTATGACAACGGTTCGTTCTTGATGATATAAATACTGGGCAGAATCTTTGGAGCAGGGCACGTGGTTTTCCGCAATTCAGATGGAAGTTCTCGATTTTTTAGAATCGTTTGTCAAGCAGCAAGGCGAAACGGACTCTTTGAGTCCCGTGTGGCCTGCCTCCTCAGTGAAGGTCCGTGTTTGACGACCCCATGCAGCTAGTCCCTCGCCTTTCACTTGTGTCACCACAGTACCGAGGTACGACCATGTGCAAGCAGATCCGTTACGAGATGGGTGAATTTTACTTTCGGCAAGACCGCTTTGACAAGGCTCTGGACAACTTCCGCAGCTGCGTGGAGGGCTGCACCTTCACTGCTACGGTTTCGTCCTCACGGATACCATCTCTCCGATATCAATCGGAGCTCTCATGTTTTAATAGGAGCGCAGGCACGAAAGTAGAGGCATACCTTTTATTACCTTTAAGAAGGAAACGGCTTCAGGGTTTGCTCTTCGCTTCTGACTTCCTTCTGCGTGCGTGATTTGCCAGCTGCCACCGCACTCTGTAGCTACATTCGCGCGTGCCTTTCCGTCACGTCCGTCCGTTCCGTTGTTGTTAGTAAGCAGAACGTCGAAGGGCTTCCAGTGGTAGAAAGAGTGGAGCATCTGCGACGTGCAGACTTAACCAATTCGGGCAGTTTAGGAGGTTGCCAATGTACAACTTGTAAACTGAGTGGCTTTTGGGGAGCCGTTTTCCTTCAGAGTTACTCGAAATTCTTAAGGACGACATCGGCGAGCATTACCTGACTTTTTCATATAGAGAAAACTTGATGGATTCATTTAAAGACCGCCATGGTTATGGTTTTTTGTATTTAAATGGCGCATGCTGACCTCTTAATTAAAATCAGAGAATCACGAGTTCGCTCTCGTACAGAAAATCGCTATTCTTAACTTTTTAAAGAAACTTGCTTATAACCAAGTGCTTGTCTTTACTATGCTATACATTTACTTTTTTCTTGTTTTCTTTTTCTTATAAACTTTTCTTTAAGGCTTTAAATGGCCCAAATTTAGAGTGTGTGTGCAGTGGGGACGCCCATAAAGTCGAACCCAAGCTTTTGCATTTTTTTATGCAAGTAAGCAGGAATCTGCTTTCAACTGAAGACCTGAGAGGTTATCATCTTGAGTTAACAATCTTCTGCGGTGCTTAGAACGACTTGTCAGCCTCCTTTCATCTCCCCGATTTCCGCAGGAGACTCGGCTGGTTCTTGGAACTCTGGGACCAACACCGCTTTCGCATGGATCTGGAGACGGCACAAGTCTCTTTGTAACCGCCAGTTGTTTATGTGTGCCGACTAACGCCGTACATATCAGCACTTTGAAGAGTTTAAGCAGACCTTCTGGCCTACGCAAAACCAATCAGTCATCCACAGAGTCGAAAATATGCCCCATTTAAGCGCGTGTGCTACTCACGTGTTGCGTAATCCGCACTGCTTACTATCCAAGTGCCTTTTGCTTCTTGTGGTTATCCGTTTGTGCCACTGAAACTCCTGCTAAACCCCGCAGCTTGTACCACTCCCGTGAGTTGAGCAAGCTGGAGCTGTGGCTGCGCATGTGTCGCGACTACCAGGCTCCGCTCTTTTATAAAACATTCCTTCCGTTAGTCGTCTAACTTTTTGTATACCGCCTGTTTTTGTTGATGTTTTCGTTAAGCAGTAATGCTGTGGAGCCGCTTCCCGCTGAGGATTCCCTCATTTCCAGTGACATGTGGCTCCTGCTCAGCTCTCTTTTGCAGTGATCATAAGCTGTTTTCGCTCACCAGTATAGTAAGATTAGTCTTCACTATCGATTAGCGGCCGCTCCTCCAATGACGAGGTCGATTTTGCCGTAATAGTATTATCTTTAGTGCGGGGTAAGCAGCCCGTTCATGCGATTGCTATTTATTATCACTAAACTTGCGCTTCAGCACATCTGGATTGGAGAAGGAAACGTTTCGCGGATAGTTATGACCTCTTCCACCTCGCGCACCAGAAAATAGCTGCAGTACAATGGCACTTACCGCTGTTCTTTATGCGATTTTGATTGATTGTGCAGCTCCGGCTCTCTGAGGAATCCACTTCCCTTCTACCCGTTTTCTACTTTGCGAGGCTGCACATGGTCACCGCCTGGTGTTTATACGTAGTGAAGAGTGGCGCTAACTTTGCTCAGGTTTTTCCGAGCCACTTTTACCCTTTTATGCTTGTTTTCGTTTCACGTGTAGGTTCTGGACCTCTGCGAGACCCTGGCGTACGAGTGTCTGGAAATGCGATCCTTTGACGCCTCCACACTTGTTATTTAGATAGTAAACGTAGAAGTGTTTATTTACAAGTTATTTCTACTGTGCAGTGCTCGTTATTTGCTCTTTATTTATCTACACCAAAGTTTCAACTGATATTCTGCTGGGGTAACGCTATAAAAAGGCAAAGCAAAGGTCGCATTAGCAGCCCAGTTTTACTTTTATAGTTATGTTTAAGACTAAATCCAGAGAGCTTTAGTCGTTGCGTTTATGAGCTTGCTTCTTTCCTTTTGTCTCTTAAAGCCGCCTGCGACAGAGAACTGCACCGCTCATTTGGTTTGCCCAACTTTGCTTGGTCGCCTTGAAGTGAGCGCATTTCAGCACCACTTTTTTTACAGAAAATACAGTCCCCGCACCTGATTTGGCTTTACTGGAACAGTTTGAATACTTATTAGCAGTTCATAAGTCGCCGTCACCTTATAAGTCATCCCGCAGTGAATCATCGAGTAAAGACGAGGTGGAGGTTGTAAGCTGCGTTGCACGTTTTACTTACTTTTACTTGATTGGGGCGTTGGAAGGAGCCTCGCCAGCTTTTGCTTATGTTAGTCAAGAGAATTAGAGGAAAAGAAATGCTTGAACTTCTTATTTGTTTGTTCTCGATATACCTCAACAGAATTCTCGATGAGGAGAACAAAGTTTATCTTTTGCATACGTCTTTATTATATGCATAATTATATTCTACGAGCAGCTCGTATTCTGGAGAGTGAAAAAGGGAGTTGGAGAAGTACTATTAAAGTTTACTGGCCTAAAAGTGGGGACTGGAACTTGGTAGGAATAGTGAAAGCAACCCTACCGGACTTAGTTAATTTTCACTAGCGAAAACTTCCCCAGAGACTATTTGTATGATACTTTGGAGCTCCTTTTGAGGCGATACACACATCATTACAGAGATTCACACGAGTTTTTTTTACTACTCGGCGATCTTTATAAGTCTAAAAAAAGCTTTAAAAGAGCATTTTGGTAAACTGCTTTTTCCCGATTGAAGTTAAGAAAACTTGTCTACTTTTCTTCAGCGTGTACTACTGGGTCGGGCTTAGACATTCTGACATGTTTTCACTGGTTGGTGCTCTCCCCGCTGTGTGGGACCAGGAAGTAGTACAAAGGATGGTTGCGTGCCTCTTTAGTATGAAAGGTCACCGCTTCGACCAAATAAGAAAACTTTTACAGCCCGTTACGTACAGGTCGTGTCACTTCTCAGCGTACATTCAAGCAGCCGCTCTCGCTCAGTTTATAGAAGGGGACTACCCTTTGAAGTTTCGTGCGGTCTACCAAGCTTGTGCTCAGGAACGCTCAGGTGCTTCGTATATTATATGCTATACCTTTTCGGTCTTCTTAAGTTCTTTTTATAGAACTCGATTATCCTTACTACCAATTTTTTTGGGACAAGCAAATTTTGGAGCTTTTTATGTGTGAGTTTGGTCGCTAGAAATTTATGGTTACTGCCTTCCTATATTCTTCTGGTATTTTATAGACTTACATAAGAAGTCGCACGATAGTAAGAGAGAAGAGCTGGCGGTACTTTGCTATTTTAGTCTCTCAAGTTTGGCCTTATTCATCGCCTACGCCGTAGGCCTCAGCTCTCAGCGACCCCTATAACAACTTTGTAAACGACGTCACGCTTCAGAAAGCCCACACACTTCATTTACAGTCGAGACTGCTGAAATTACTGGCCAAGGATACTTTCCAAATGGCGGCTTCTGAATAATACAATCAACCTTTTTTTTTTCTTTTCTTATAACGTACAAAGAGAGTTACTATGCATTACAGAAGTTCTCCGCGAGCTTATAAAAAATTTACAGATTTTATTTTTCTTGGTAATGCATATTAACAAACTACTTTGACTCTTAAAGTAGCGCTTTTTTCTTTAAGGTTTAAATAGAGGGTATGTAGACGGGCGTCAGATTTTCATTGACGTGTTTTCCCTTTGAAAAGATAATCGATGCTTTTCAGGTTTAGTTCTAATAATGATCAGTTAATGGCTACCTCCAACACCCCAGCCCATCTCTCTCTGTTTCTTAGTAAGTTGTCAAGAAGTGGTCGTATCTGTAACGCCGCATAAAAACATTAAATTTTCCAATTAGGAAGAAAGGCAAACTACATTACTTGTGGGAGCACGTGGGCCAGAGATGTGTAGGCGGGTAGTCCCACGTGATCTATAAAGTCAATCTGGCAACGCGGAATAACTGCTTTTTCCCGATCCATCATCTCAATAGGCGTCTAACATAACAAGGGATGAACGGTGGCCAATTACCGAAACCATAAGCTTCCCGTATGTCATTATATAAGGAATAAAGACGAAAAGCTTCGTACCAGTCCGCACTTCTTCTCCTCGTCTCCTTGTTCAAAAAATTCCTCGTAAATTTGGCGTGTGATTGATACATGCAAGTCCTAAAAGAAGAAGACTATAAGCACTTTGAAGACATCCAAACTTTTAATGTGTCGTCCTCGCTACCACCACAGCGCTGCCCACCGCGTTCTTGAACGATGTTCTACTCTGTGTGGGTCTAGCAATGGGGAGCAGAGCATGTTTACCCAATTCCTCGAGATGTTCGAGATATCGCAAACAGTCATTATTATGGAGCAGAGAAGAGATCGGTGTAGTGAATTGCTTTTATCGAAGAGGCTATTGTCGCTTTTGTTTTCACAGCAAAACAAAGACTTGAACTTTTTCAAAGTGACAAAGTGGCCTGTCAGGGAAGTATAAAGTATATAAAATATTAAAATTAAGCTTCTTCCAGATAAAATAGGTTTGTGGTAGGAAGTAAAGCTAATGCTTTTCTTTGACAGGTGAGCAGCTTTACCGTGCCAGTACCCCTGATAGACAGACAAACGCTAGCTCGCAGGAGTGCTGCTTCCAAGTACTTTATAAGTCAAGCTCGTGTGACTAGAATAACCTGCCAAGTCCGTCGCCAGAATATTAAATTTTATTAGCCTTTTAAGACCAGCCACTGTTTCTTCATCGCAGTTTTCGAATATATCAAGGTTGGGATTGCTTAGCAACTTTTCCAGTATGTTGTAATGGTGATGCTTGAAAAAATGTTAATATCACTCAATATTATAACAAAAAAAAAGCACCTCTAGAATACTTTTATCCCCATAAAGCTGTTTCAGGTCACTATCTCTTGTTTTTAAAAAGGCGTTGTTTTTACCTCTGTGATCAAGATCGTGCCCTATTATTAGGCGACGTTTCGTCATTGGAAACTTGTCGCTGGAATAAACAAGCTCTGTACCCAAGCAGGACACCAAGAGCGCCAGTATTTCCCGCTCCTCTAAAAAATCAATGAGGTTTGAAAGCAGCACTATCTGTGAACAGAAGCAAGTAGTTCACGTGAGTAACAGGAAAGACAACAGGAGAGTGGCGGACACAAAGGTCGTACTGTATACAGGCATTGGGTAACACAGAAGGCGTGAGACCAGTTGTGGTACGGGACGTCCCTAAGCACCGTCAAGCATTCGCTGTAGAGTCTACAGTATTAATAGTATGCGAGCACCTATAACTGTTACGGACGGTCAAAATAAATCGCTTCAGCGTTTCTGGTTGCATAATAAATCGCTCCAGAAAGTGCAGTCTTTCAAACATGTAAAGCACGCAGGAACACTATAACGTACAGAGAATAACAAACTAACAGGTGTGCAGTTTAGCAATGAACTTATAAACCATTTTGATATCGGTAAGAACTCTGTAGTCCCAGTCGTGTCTGCTTAAGGAAGCCAGTAGTTGGGGTGAAAGCGGTTGGGAAATCTAAACAGCCAAACACAAAATATACGCCAAGTACACGTGGATTTATAGCAGCTTAAAGAAAAGGAAAAGTTATTTACGCAAATAAGCTCGTCCGATTTGAAGTGTGTATAATACTGTATCATTTCAAATGCTATTTTGCTCTGATTTTCTGTTTTTTTTAAGATTTCTTGCTGTTGCAGGTTGTGTAGGCTAATGACGGGTAGCAGTTTCATTGCATTAGAACAACCAGCACAGACAAGAGGAGCATTAAGAAACCTTATGCCTATAATATTGGCCATCGTCTCTATTTGATGCTCATCGTTCTTCGAAAACTTGCCCTTATACGCGCCTCTTTTGTTGATCAGCTGGAGCACTCCTATAACAAACGGGCTACTAGTTCAAGCGAGGTAGCGTCCGTGGACGGGTCAGGTACCTACAACTGCATGGGCTCGAATGATCGGTAAACAGAGCATGGCAAACACCGGCTTGTCCGGCACGCCATCCACATCTTTTCAAGCAGAGTTAGTGGAAATCAACGCTATAAGGACAGCGAGTTATCCACCAGAATCATAGCGAGGGTCCTCTTTGACACATGCAATGTTCAATGTTTTCCCCCTCGCGAACACGTGACCAGCGATTCCCTGCTAACGAGAAAAGTAAGAACACTACAGGCGTCATGGTGCAGGTAGGCCAGAAAGCAAGAGGCCTGCGAGGCGGGAAACGTTGGGGGGTCAGAGGGATTAAAGTCAGCATAGCAGTCGCAGACTTGCCGGACTAAAACGTTGTTCTCTTCGTCCTTCCAATCCGAAGAAAATTAAGTCAAAGTGGAACTTCGGCAAGCCAGCAACAAAGGTGGCACTTACATACAGGAAGAAGGCACACATTTGTGAATCAACAAGGTTTCTGCAACTTTCCAGCAGCTGTTTTATTAACAGAACTTTCTCTGTGGGAAGCGACAAAGCCATTGCTGTCTAAAAACGCGATAGAACAGCAACACTAAGAAACGCGCAGCAATAACACTGCGGTCGCTAAGGGCCACCTGCGAGATGGCGTTCTGCTCGAATTTTCTCTTTGTTTCTTGCTCCAGAAAGAAAGCGTTGAGAATGGCCAGATAGCAAACAGCGACGTAAGTTTCAAACCTGGCCAAGATATTACACAAAGGAGCTAAATAAGAGGGCGAAAACTTCGTGAAACCATTCAGCGTCTTCACTGGTAAAGTCTCCCTTTTTTTTGTTGACTAGGTTCGCCACGCCAATCACGTCGCCTAGTTAAGCGGTTTGTTAGTAAGATAGAAAACCAGGCGTGCGGTCAATTCTACTGCGAGGCATGTACTCACAGAAGGCAACTATGTCTAAAGTGGCTACCAGTGCGAACACTAAGACGCTAAAAAAGTAGTCAAGCAAAGGGCGCAGCATAGGCAGACCAGCGTAGTCTCTAATGGGGGTGCACAGAAGAGTCTTTGTGGTATACTTCGGCCTCGTGCCGGCTTCCTTATTAAAAAGTTCGTCTGTCGAGCGTCCTCTGATATTAAGGGTCTTTCCTGTCTCCACAACGTAACTGATAACTCCATTCTCAGGCGGTAGTCAAAAATTTACTAATAAAGGAGTTGAATGTATAAGGCGATAAGGAGGGCACCATTTCTGAGCAGTCCAAAGCTTCTCTGGGGCTGCTTGAGGAGCCAGAGGAGTCATGCGTTTGCCCTTTTCGCGAGGGTTCACGAGGGAGAAAGGCTATTCTCGCTTTGTACGGTTCGGCGTAGCGAGTAGCCCTGCACATAACAAAGATCTTAGATATAAATAAAGGAAATGACCTTCAAAAGAGTAGATATTGACTTTTCTCTGTAAGATTTCTGGGAGGCCAAGCTTAGCGCTCGATGGATGGACACAATAGACTCTGAGTGCGCATTCTATTGTCAAAATTCAAATCAGAACATTTTAATAATATTTGGTCAGTACATATTTTCAGTTAGAAGCAGAGTCGATCGCTCAAAAAGGGCACCAAAAACTTTAGAAAGTAAAAAAAATACTGTAGTGACTTCGTTTTGACCGTAAGTGTCGAACTCTTCAGTATACATTTTGTCGCGAGCTGCAAATACTTATAATAAAAACTGTCTCAAAACATATCTTTTTTTTTATGCCTTTGTCAAGCATGAAGATCGAGCATCGCTCCGCCCCAATATACGAGGTGGCTTGCCGTAAAATCCTTGAAACCTTCCAGGTGGCACTGAAGTAGCCAAAGAAAAACAAACGACCGATAACTAAAAAAAACCAACAACAGCTTTTGCGGAATTTCCCTCAGAGTAAAGATTTTTGGTGACACTTTGCAGCATGCGGTGTTCGTTAATTTTCGTTTCCAGCTAATTTTTTGATAAAAAAGTGAACAAGAATTTCTCTTTTGGCGCTTCTAGAAAAAGTAACTTCATTTATTTTAAGCAGTTTGCTATACGTTTCCCCAATGTGCTCGGCAATAATGGAAAAGATCCTTAAGATAAGGTAAAGCTCACAACGCCAATCAACAAACGTAACCACAAAGCTAATACGCCTTCCCACCTGCACTCCTCGCTCTCAAGATTGAACGGCGGAAAGCAGCTGGAGCGCGATAGTACAATAACCACGCAAGTTTGCAGAGGATCCAGTTGTAAAACAGGAACAGCACAGAGATGGACACTTGTTCTACGGGATTTAGACTATCTTATATTAAGTATACGTAAGCAGTTCGTTTACCAAAGATAGTCTTTAGCAAAATATAATAACTCGAGTTCACAAACAAGCACACCATATAGCCAGTTTAAAAGAAACTAAAATATCACTGGTTAAAAATAGTAGCCAATGATACATATAATGAAAAACGAACGGCAGAAGAGGAAGTTGCGAGAGGGCCAGGAACGTTAGCGATGGACATCCTGCGAGTCTTCACGGCTTCCCTAAAACGCCACAACAATGAGTGAATATGTACATACAAGTAACTAGTATAATTAAAGCACATTGCAAGGCCTGAATTTTTAAAACTTATAACGTTGCTAAGCTTTCTTCCCGACTCATCAAAGTCAAATAAATGTTCATTAATGTGATCAACGAAATATATTCGCGTGGAATCTAACTAGCAGTATATATTATATATAGTTTTTTGTATAAATACAGTTTTAAAAAACCTGAAATAAATTAAGAAATCCTTTATCTATCTTAAGTACAAGATCATAAAGAGATTTTGAGGAATGAATTATTAGCAAAGAGGGCAGAAGTTTTTTATAAAAAGCTGTTTCGTTAATAAAAGATTTTTAAAATTATATTGAGCAATATAATAAAGTTACCTGCTTCAGCCTCACTGGTAAATGGAACCTGAAAGATGCCTAAACGCAGATCTTTTTCAGACTGTATAGTTTTTACCTGTAACAAAGATTTACCAAAGATGCAACGTCTAAAGTCGAATTTTATAAACAAATTCTTGACTTCTTAGAATTCTTAATATATTCACGGCTGTAGCAACCTACTAACTCTTTTTAAAATTTCAACACTTACTTTATTAACTAAATGTAAGTCGCAAATCTTTTATAACGAATTTTTTTTTTTTTATAATTAAAAACATGCTACAAGTAGACGTAAGTTGATATAAAAATACAGTTGAATTGTAGCATTGAAGGAGACTGCTAGCTTTTTTGCTTTCCCCTCTAGAAAATGAAGAAAAATTTCTGTCCATCTCGGCTTTTACTTTCTTCTTTTTCATGTTCTTCTAACAAAAAATTAAACTGGTCAAAACTTATAAAAGAGGGTTAAAAGAGGACAATAATAACTGAACCGTTTATAAATGAAGATATTTCAGTAAAACACTTAACAGAAAAGTCTTTTTATTACACCAAACGACAGTTTCCTTCATACTCTGTGGGCCACAACTAGAGCGAGATTCAACCACTACGCTGTATCTTTAGCGAAGGTAATACAAATTTGTCTCAAGTTTTTTCTATTTTAACCTTGGCCCACTGCTTCTTCACAACTATTGGTAAAGGCGCAGCTAATAGCTTTGACAACGGAAGAAGTTGTATGGAATTTACTTCTAACGTCCCTTTAAAAGAGTATTTTTAATCTTCATATAACTTATTCAAAAGTATAAACTTATATATCGACAAGCCTTTTAAAGAGTTAATAAAAATTATACATCAAATATTGCTCTACTACTTTCTTTTGGCTTTATATATAAAAATGAATTGTTCAATGTTTACGCATTTTTAAAGGGAACAAGTAATATACAATGAAAGGAACATACTAATGTTATTGTTCTGTTCAAAGATTTAATAAAAGCAACTTAAAGAGTAATATTCTTATTCTTAAAGTATTCTTAAAGTATTTTTATCTTGGTGCTACCACAAGCTAAGAAAAGAACTCCTAACGTGACCTAACACTTAAATTTTAAATAGATCAGCTTCTTACTTTTTTTAAAATTACATGTTATTACGAAGGTAACTTTGACTATAATATACGTGTTAACCGAAATAAAGGGGGTTGATTCTTCTCAATTACTTTTTATGCTGATTTATACATCTTAGAAACAGGGAAACAATAACTCAGAAGTTATTAAGTATTTAACTATTTTTTAATTTGTAAATTGTTATACATGTACTTTTTAAAACACCAACCTGGAATCACTAACTATTATGCCCTTAATAAATAATAATAAAAATAAAGCGAATCACAACTAATTTTACTGCAAAAAAGAGCTTTGAGGTCCCCATAAAGGTAGTAAAAATAGTGCTCCAATTAATACCCCTCCACTACTGAAGTTAGTATGTTAGTATGTTTAGTTCACCAAAAGTGTGTTTTGCGGAAAAAATTTAATAACAGTTTTTTGGGTCTGTATTAATCCTACCAATTTATTGATTATAGCAATTAACCCTTGTATAATTTTTAACCATGTTAGCTTTTACCTCTGAATTTAAATGTTTAAGAAGGGAAATGTAATGTATACGTTTTAGATTACAACAAAAGTTAAGGAAGCACAATTCATTTCTTTTATTTAAACAGTTGCTTTACCACCGTTTTAACTAACATCCGATTCTATCTAAAGAGCAGGTGTTTCACAGGCAGATTTATGTTAACTTTCGACAAAAGCACAATATTGCTTCTATTATAACATCCATTATGTAAATCTATGAATGTTTTTACTATTTTAATTACCACTTAATTTACAAGTTTTTAGTAACTGAAGTTTTGGGGCCTATACCAAAAGATTCCTGATGATATTTTTTAAACAATACTGGGGGTCAACTTATATAATAATGAACAATGTCGATTCTGTATACCCTTATTATGCATTAATTACACAGTTGTAATGAGCTCCTTAAAAGTCACTGTAATTTTTTTTATTCATGAGTTCAGCACGAATTTTATTCCTCAGGCGATGAATTCATGAAATTTTCAAAATCTTGAGGGTCCTATAAGAAGGTTAACTTCTAAATGCTAAGTTACCCTAAGTCAGTGATCTACAGGATTTTTAACAACTTGCTCGTAATAAGAGTGAGAAGGAAATCCGCACCTGTATACCTTTAAAATGGATTAATGGCACTTAATTAAAACGTTTTCCCTTCTAGTAGTGTAATTAATCTCGGTAACTGTCATTGTTATTGAGATTAGGTTAAAGTTTTCTCTTCATTAAAATCTTCTGCACAACCTAGTGTTGTTCAAAAGTTTAAATAATTATATAACAACCTAATCAGCATCCTCACAACACTATATAAATAAAGACATTTTAACATAAACATAAACAACCTTTTTAGTAAAAAAAAAGGTTCAAAAAAATATAATTAAATAAAATTCTGTATGAATGAGTTTAAAACCTTTTATGAGACCTTTGGTAGTCACGATTATTTTTTAGACTAACGTTTATAAAGCAATAAAGATATATTAAAGAAAAGAGGCTTTGTAAATTAGCTTGAACCTGCACGAAAAAATTGAATTAGCTCTGGACCATTATTCATTAGTACGCAGCTAACGCAATTATTAGTAGCACATCAGGCTGACATTTTAGCTTTGCTGGGACTATATTCACAGAATATCTTTCCTGCGCAAGAAACTTTATTTCGCTGAACCTTTTATGAGGTACTTCCACTGATATGGAAATTGATTTTACTTTTTTTCTCCGTGTTTATCTGTAATGACTTTACTTACAATAATATAACTATCGCTAGTATGCGGGAATCTCTATTAGGCTAACTTGTTCCTCCTGCAGTAGATTATACTAAATACCTTACTAACTAATCCAAGTTAGAATCCACCCGGTTAATTTGACGATATTTTTATGAGATTATAAATTAATAAGACAAATCAATAGTAAAAAAACTGTTTTATTTTATCTTGTACTAAAAAAGGGTGCCTCTGAATTAATAACAGTGGATAAATACATGGTAACTGTGAAAAAAATTATAATATATAAGAGTCTTAAACTAATTATATATAGAAGTTGTAGATGCTAAAGGCACCGGCCTTAGAAACAAACAACAGAAAATGAGAACGTTGGATTTGCTCAAGTCAAGTCCCTAGCCCGAGGGCCAATAACATGGGGGTATAACAGGTTCAATATGTAAAGGCCATCATCTTTGTTTAAATTTACATATACACCTAAACAAAAATAAATCGCAGAGAAATACTTTAAAGTAAACCAGTTAAAGATATCATGAACTAGTACTTTTATAATAAACACAATCTCGAACAGTTGGACAGAGACTGTTAAAGAAAAAATATTATATACAAATATGGTAATTATTGACTTTTAAACGGAACCATATTAAACATATCTATTCCAAGAATCTTAAATTTATACATAAATGGAAATGCTTTTTTTAACTTTTTGTACAGGTATTAAACGGCTTGGATGTCTATAATAATATAAGGACCCCGATGGCGCCACTATTGAGTTGCTGAAGAAATTGCCATCACCAGGGGTGCATTATCTGTGCCTCCAGGTAAAAGCTGCGATGGTCCTCGGCGTCTTTCCGGCCGAGGGGAGACGGCGGCTGTAGTGATGCTATCAAAGACGCTCAAACCGGAATCAGCAACTAGCAGGTACCGACCCATCAGTTTCCTGTTAGCGGTCGGCACTGAGGGTGAGGCAGGCCATTTTACTGCGCCGTCTAAAAGAGGTCGTTAATGCTCGGGATGCCACGCCGGAGTTTTAGTTTGGATCCCGGTAAGGACACGCAACAACCCACCAGCGCCTCCGCTTAACTGAGTGAACCACTCGCGCTTTTAACTTTAAGAGGGTAACAGGCCCTGTTCTCTGACGGTGAAAAGGCATTTGATCAAGTTTGGCTTGGAGGTCTGCCGCACAAACTACGCACGTTATCCGTTCCTCATGGTCTTTACAATGTGCTGAAGTCATATCTATATGACCGCGTCTTCAGCGCACGCGTGAGAGATACACAGTTGCTGCTGCAATTTCTGACTGCAGGGCCCCTTCTTCCGCCCCTTTAATTTGCTGTTTATATGAGCGACGTGCCCTTGCCTTCAAATCCACCTACACCAATCGCCCTCTACGCCAATGATACGGCCATTTACTCAACGTCGAATTCTCCCGTCCCGCTATGCAAGCATCTACAGCGCTATCTTGATACTCTTGCTAACTGGTGCCGTAATTGGAAAGTTTCTATAACTGCGATGAAGAGCAAATGCGCTTTTAATTACTAAGAAACACGTCCTCTTGTTAGCCCCCTTTACCCTTGATGGCGAGAAGATTCCGTGGTGTTCTCAAGCGAAAGACTTGGGAAATCCTCATTGACAACAAACTTTCCTGGCAGGCGCTCGTGGACTATGTAGTGGCGAAGGTCAAGGCGGCAACTAAGGCGCTTTACCCTTTACTAGGCGGTAATTGTTTATGTCTTACATCCAGTCAACGATAACATACTCGTCTGCTACTTAGACCTACGACTTCTTTACTATGCAGTAATTGTATATGCCTTACATCCAGTCAATGATAACATACTCGTCTGCTACTTAGACCTGCGACTTCTTTACTATGCAGTAATTGTATATGCCTTACATCCAGTCAATGATAACATACTCGTCTGCTACTTAGACCTGCGACTTCTTTACTATGCAGTAATTGTATATGCCTTACATCCAGTCAATGATAACATACTCGTCTGCTACTTAGACCTGCGACTCCTTTGCAATAGCGTCGGCCTTTCAAGTGCTACAGAACAAACTGCTGCGCGCGTTGACAAACTCTCCGTGGTTTGTGCGAGATGAAGCAAATGAAGCTCTTGAGACCAGGACCTGTGGCTGAACCCTTTAACCGTCGTCTTCCAACGTAACGCCAATGCCCTTTACCACAGATTAGCCAGGAACACTAATCGCCTGCTGGTGAGTGTACTTACTTACGAGCCTTGGGACGGAGGGACGGAGTACGTTATCGCCGCCCACGTGACGCGCGTAAGCGCTAGTTTTTGTTTGTTTATGTCAAGAAATAATGACGTCTTTTCGATTGAAGGCTGTTACGTGAGATGTCTGCAATCGCTTCTGATTGAGAGCTCAAAAGTATTCAAAGTTTTCTGACTCGCTCAAGCGCCATAAACTTCCATTTATAAACAAATAATAATACAACTCCCGTTCTTCTTGTCCCCGCCTTCTTCGTCGTTAGTCTTAATGTGCTGAGGTCGAGAGTTTTCGTCGTAGCTTTGTGGTTAAAAGACTGAAGTGTATTTTCAAGGTCTATATTTCATTCCCACCGACGCGACTCTCTTTTTCGGTATTTAATAGTTGCGTATTTAACCTCGTCCTTATAATTTTTAATGCTTTTGTACTGTTTGAGTAGCACAACACCCCTCCCTCCCCTCCTACTAAACACTAACCAACAAAAACGTAAGAAAGAAAGAGCACTGTGTATGCCATCCCTTATAGTTATTTATTCTCCTTCAACGATTTACAACATTAAATAAATAATGTACTCCACGGTCGCTTTATAGTCATAATTGTCTGCCCAGTACGCATCTGTAAAACGATCTTATTATTTACTAATTTCTAAAGTTAGAAAATTTTAATTTTTTGTGTCGTAGCATAAAAGTAACCTAGTATATGTTTCGCTGTTAACAAATGCGATTCATTATTATTAATAAAAAAAGGCTGCTAAGTTCTGAGGCCGCATACCCTATATTGAGGTATAGCGTTGACTGCTGCGTTACGTAAAGGTTCATTAGCCTATAGAATTCCCAGTTTGTAGTACCGAAACCTTTGAAAGGTTGATTTTGGAATAGGAATAGGATGGTAATGAAGTTAACTTCTTAGTCATGTACTTATTAAGCTTTAGTCCGTTGTAAGGTAACTATTTCAGTTTGATATCAATCCCTAGTATTCTATTATTAGGTGACCTTATTATAAATTCTTTTTTTAAAAACCTTGTTTATGTTATAGTTGCCGATAATTATAGAGAATCTATTTACGTGCCCGCTACCACTTCCTTTTAAGTAGAACAGAACATGTAATTATCAATTATGTTACCTTTATAGTTATACTTTTGGTGTAAATTTTCAAGATTTAAATTAACAAGTTGCGCTGACCTTTCAAGTAATATAAAGCTCCTTCAGTTCGTATTGCATCCGCTTAATTATTTTTTACTTTTACTCGACATGAATACAGGCACTTGGTCAGTTATAGGCGTGCTTGAGTTCCATCTATTTTCTATTAATTGGGTGTCGTTCCTTATTTTCTGTTTCCTGTTCAGTTCTTGTCACTTCAATTTAAATAAACTTATAAACGTTTAACCTGTTAATAACACTTTTCTTTAGTTTGTACAATGGCCTCCACTTTTCATACAAAAAACAATTCATTAGGTAACGTGCATATGAATTAGTTTCGCTAATTACTTGTTTTGAAAGGCTGTGGAAATAATTTCTGTCACTAAGGGCATGCTAAATATTTGTGCTATGGCTGTAAAAACGTTTTAAAAGTTTTTTAATGAAATTGGAAAATACCAATATTAACGCCTTTTGTTTGTATAAAACCCCTTGCTGTAGTTCTGGTTTTATGTTGTTGGTTATTATTTAATATAATCTTCATGTTGTCATTAAAAACTGTTTAAATTTTTTATTAAATTTTATTTGTATAACACTGAAATCTAGGTTGTTCCTTTAAAAACAATAACTTTATTTTGGCGGTATTTATATACTCTAAGGTATAATTTGCCTCACTGCATTTACGTATATTATGGCCACTTGAGTGTATTATATATACGTTAAATAACTTTTAGAGTTGTGTATTTTAAATAAAAACTAAATGTAGCTTATAATCAGCGGTCTACTGAGAGTTCCAAATTAATGAAAGTAGTTGCTATTCCTGAGATGAGAGTTAAGGTTAAAAATTAAGGTTAGGTTAAGAATAAGGGTTAGTTTAGGGCCCTTCAATTTTACGTCACCACAATTCTAATTGAGTTTGGTTAAGACACTGCCTAATCTTAAGTCAAGCTGCCATCTAAAAACCTTGAGTACGCTAAAGATTACTAATACTTTGCGAAGCGTTGCCCTTAATTAGTTTCTTTGACTGAAAATAACTTGGTGCTTTATAAACTGTGCACGAGTGCCAGTGTGAAGCAATTCTATAAATCAATTTACCTTTTTCTTATGAAGCCCCTGGTTATAGGCGCTAAAGTTTAACCTTAGGAATACCTACCGAGAGAGTTAAAATTAATACATTATGAAAAGTATAAAATAAGTTTAATAATTAAAATGAATTAAGAAGAAAAAACAGGTAAGTGGTAAGTTGAGGCTCAATTGAAGCGATTTTAAAACGTGTTTGGTTCATGTATACTAGCGTACCAGTCCACATTATAACGTTACCAACTAATAAACTAGTGGAATGAATACTGTATTATTCAGAAACTTTACTTTCTAACAATCTTAAGTGTTTTTAATTGTACAATCACAATGTATACTAGTATTACGTGATAATCACGCAGCATTTATGATATTTTAAGTAATATGTTATTTAAAACTTGCAACCTATTAATACTACAGTCAGGGCAGGATAAAGAATAATTGGGAGAATAATGAGTTTATAGATAAACAGCTTCAGCTTATTTATAAGGTGGAGTCTACTGCTTCAATATACCAACTTGTATAAGGCATTCTTAGCAGTATGCACTATTTACTATATGCTCCATATGAGTGTGCAAAGTGAATCTCTTCTTCTTATTATTACAGGATGTGCAGATAGAGTTATAGTTTGATAGCCAGAGAAGGCGATTTAGGACTGCAAAATATGACTGTAGCGTACACACCTTGAGCTAGTAATACGATATTTGGTTTAAACACGTCGATAAAAGTGAACCTTTATAGAACGTTAAGTTTGACGTAAATTCAAAAACTGTAAATTTTCTGTTGGGTTAAAAGGTTATTATTTAAACTATAAGCTGGAAAATTTTATGATTAGTTGCTCATCCTTTGTTAATTAGTGGTCTTAACCCGTAAGTCGTTCTCTTCACTTCTTATTTCCGCAGTACATTGTTTAAAGAATCTTATATTTATTGTATATATTAATCGGTAGTTAGTAGTAAATCTATCACCTGAATGTAACCTCTATAATTATTATCATATTTTAAACTACCAGGCTTTATAAATACATGTATATGTGAAGACAAATAAACTTTCAAAATAGTATAAATAAGCCGATTATATATATATATAGTAAGTTTCGCAATTGAAACGCTTAGCAAATATAGTGGTGCACGAGCCATATTTAAAAATGAAAGGGGACTGTAAAAAAGATTCATAACGCCTTTTGCTTTATTTTTATTATTTTTAACTAGCATATTATAGTTAGTGCTCAGTAGCACTTTAAATAGCGTAAGCCGTATTTCTATACGGTGAGAGGGGTTGGATAAGAGATGCCCAACAGTGGGTATTTTTCAGGGGTATCATGGATGTTTCTAGGGGATTGCAGGAAAATATTGTTACCACTTCTGACTTTTGACCCAAGCACGGTAAAACCCGCTAGGTATCAGTACCACCGGAAGAGAAATTTTGAGGTATGAGGCCCCCTCAAGACCTGTCATCAAGAATGATAGCCAACCCACTTGGTTTGCACAAGTCCACTCACAGTATCCGATGGGAAATTTATTGGGGATTAATCAAACCAATTTTTTTTAACGAAATTTTTTTGAACATTTACTAGCTGTATACATTTTGTAAGAAGAGAACTAAAGGAAGTCCCATGGAGAAATAAACGAGACGCAGGAAGACACTTACATTAACTAGCCACCTCAGCTGTTATAACCTTTGTTAATAACTTTAGTTTTTTTATAGCATTAAGTAACAAATATTATGTTTAGTTTAATTGGTATACTTAACAGCATCATTGTTTATTTTAATATAATATTACTTATTGACGAATTTCTTATTATTTTATATCTATTTTTGTATTCGCGTTTTACTATAACAGTATATCACGGCATTGCCTGTTTGTATTTGTTCCGGTACGCTTCATGTATCTGCCAGAAAATTATTTTCGTAAAAGTGACTGCTGGATTGCCTTTTTAGCGAATATGATTAATTTCGTAGTAATCTCCTTTTTAATCCTCAAGCAAGCTTTAAACAGAAAAAAGAGTCACGTCCGCGGGAACAAAACCTACGACCTAGGAGGGCGCCCCTCAATGCTTCTAACTGCTGAGCTACCACAACAATTCTCCATCCTGGTATGATAAAATTACCATATTTTTTTTATTAATGACTTTTGTGGATGCTCTGTAAGTCAAGCGCAAACCGCTTATTCTTGATTCGGGAGCAAGGAGGCGCTCATATATCTCCAGGAAAGAGTATCATTAATGTTACAATTTTCAAGGGGGGGAACCGCAGAACGTGGTTAGCCACCGTAGATACTACCCAAGCTCCTGGAACTTTGACGTCCGATCGAACAGGTCGGAGTGCTTTTTGCCAGTGCACCCCCCCATACGTATTTTACCCGTTAAATTTCAGTTAAATATCCTGAATATTAGGTAACGGATAGAGGCGGAGTCAAAAAAAGTTAAGTTGCGTTACATAGCATGCAAGAACCAATTCACGATTAACTGTAACATTTTATGAAAACGCGCGTGCAAGTAGTGTTTATATATCTTTAAAACAACGTTTTCTCCCTAGAAGTTACAACGTGTCGAGTGTGGAGCACTATTAGCTTTTTTGACTAACTTGTTTTTATTCAACCTTGAAAGTATAAGAGTAAGTTGATTGTTAAAGCGGTTAGGAGAAGAATATCCTTTAGTCTAGATAACGTTAGCACTATAAGTTTTTAGTTGTTTGAAATTACAAATAGGTTAGGAAAAAATTTTAATTACTGGTTTTATTATTGTAATTTCATTATGCCCAGGTCCGCCACGATCAGTTTTTTTAAAAACTTCAAACCACTTGATCTGTAACTACTAAGGGCTGAAAAAGAACAAAGAAACATCGGGCTTAGACTCCCTCCACTCTGGCCTAGTATGATGGGAAACTAGCATAAATTATCACCAAGAGAATTGGCTCAAAAAACTAGAGCTGAGGCCTTTTAGAGACGTCGGCAACACTAAAAATTAAGGCCCTCCCTACCGTTAGCTTCGTACCCAGAGGAAAAAGCTTACTAACCTCATTAAAATAAAAAAAAAAGCATTAATTTTTGTCTTCTCTATGACATTAAGTATAATTTGCAGTTAATATTTTAAATATGATCCGCTTATTACATAATCATTTTAGCAATAAAAATTTAATTTTTTCTAAAATTTAACTATATGGAATGAATGCAAGTAACTTCATTTTTGCGAATGCAAATTTTATCATCTAGGATTAAGGCAGCTAATAGGTAGAAAAACGAAATAAACGTTTAAAACATTTGTTAATATATCCTCTACAGGCGAGGAAAAGCTTCCTATAGAATTAAGGCTGGCAAAAAAAGTCTTGCTTATTTAATATATACATACATAAAATTGGCTCTAAATTAATGAATGTGAGGGTATAAACAAATTTAAGTCCAATAATTTTTCTTTAAACTTTAGCGATAAATTAACCAACACAAATTTAGAGCAAATTATTTTAGTAACAATTAAACTCATTTAAATACTATGGAATTTAAACACCAGCTTAGTAAAGCCTCCGATTCTTAATTCGCGCGCCATCTCTCCTGAATTAATATGCTTGAAAATTTACAAATTTATTAGAAGTGTTGAGAAGGGAAAAGTAAGAAAAAGGAGAAATTACTGCCTTTTCTTTACATCCTTGGGCTCAATGATACAGTATATTGCCGTATTCGTGAACGCAGAAGGTATTCAAGGTAGATAGCTCCAAGTTAATAGAACAACGTAGGTAAGGAAAGTAGGCAAACTTAAATCCGTAACTTTAGGTGGGGGTAGTTTATAGGGTGGGCTTCCCCTGCTAAAAAGGTGAGGAGGTCATCTCCCCAATTTTATGACTCCTCTCGGGGAGCAAAAATAATTCACAAACTGATATATCCTTACCTTGTTACTAAAGATTTGTGAACAGTCATATATTCTCTGTATACTACGTTTTGTAGTATAGATAGTTTTTAAATTTCACCTACTTAGTTATAATAGATGTCTTTACATACGTTCCAATGCGTTCAATAATCAAGTTGACGTGAGTGCGAGAGCAGGAGAAAATTGTTCATATAGCGTTATATTGTTAACATCCTGCGGGATGCACAGTGCAATTATTATATAAGTAGAAGCAATACCAATAAACGTGGTTACAGAAGCTTCTAAATTTTATAAGGTTAAGCCTAATAGGCTAAAAAAATATATATATGCAAAACTATCATACCGGGATCGAGAGTTGTCGTGGTAGCTCAACTGTTAGTAGCGTTGACACACAACCTCAAGAGCGTTTGCACAACCGTAATGATGGGCTTTATTACTTTTTAAAGGAAAACTTTTAAAAATAATATAACTTGTAGACTGCAGCTTATCTTCAAATTGCTACACGAGTGGACATTTTTAAATTATTTAAAAAAATTTTCCTGGTGGCCGAGTTTTTTAGAACAGATAACTTTTCTCTACGTAAATGCACGGCTACATATGAATTTTCCTAATGCTAATTTTTAAGAATTTTTTAACTTATGCCTTTGCAATCCTTCTTTCGTCTCAGCACGCCATCAAGTATACATTGAATATGAACTCTTCCTTTTGGTAATTACGTTTGAAAAATGGGGACATTAGTTTTTACCTCTTGTTTTTTTTTAAAACTTCGCATAGAAATTCGACTCTTGTATGGAATAGGAAAAATCTGTTTTAGCTGATCCAAGTTAAAATATCTTTTATATCCACTTTTGGATCATACTGTTACATCCTGAAGTTGAATATTCTATAAAGATAGTAAAGAGTTTAACTAAAGACAACTGACACAAAAGAAACAAGTAATAAATATAAAAGTATTAGGAGTAAGAACAAACCTTAAAACCAGAGCTTTTAAAACAAATATTTTTGATATTCAAAAACTCGAAGCGGTTCGGAACTAGAATAAGGCGAAAGGCATTATTACAAATAAAGTCACAGGATTAAAAGCTCTCAAAAAAAAACTAAAATACAGGCTCGGACAAAATGCAGAAATTACAATTATTCAAGCCGAAATTAATATAATCTGGCAAAGAGGTGGATAATCTCTTCCTCAATAGGTTTATTTTAGAAACTATGTTTTTGCTTTTTTCGCCAACTTGCGAAGGAGTTTTAATATGTACCTCAAGCCTTTCTTATGCATATTTTGAGAGTTGGTAATACGCACGGTAGGCAATATTTTATCTTTTCATTGCTTACAATCTCAGTCTGTTCTAGGGAAAATAAATAACCATATTAGTTGTATGGCACGCCACCATAAAGTCACACTAAAGCAAATTAGCATATTAGCCAGGTTGTCTTCGTACATATTTATTTTGTACGCTTTAAATGCCTTTCATTTTTTATTTAAATGATTCAAAAATTTTAGAAATTTAAAAGTAGATTTTTCATTTTTCTTGCAATTATAAGGCTTTGGTAGTTAAAAGAAACAGTTCTACATCCTTAAAAAAGATAATGTCTTGTACATCTTTTAATTCGAGATTTTTGTCAGCTCATACACGTACTTTTCTTCTCTTTCTGAAGAGTACATCGTGCTTAAGTTATATAATAATTTTAAACTTAGTATTATCTTTTAAATTTGAACTTTTTTTAGGTTTCTTTTCAAGGTTTTTTAACGATGAAGATCTGTTCTTTCTTAACGAATATTTTAGTTTAGATGAAAGCGTTCAATATTTATTTATAAGATTATATGAACGTAAAAAAGACTGGATCAAAAAGAGCTCCCTTATTGATTATAAAGAAATTATATTACCTATTGAAGGTTTTGAGATTATTATAGATTTTATCTTTTAAGTAATGCTTTTTGCCAGAAACTTTGGACGTGCTCTTAAAAAAAAAATTCCTGGAGCTACTTGATTTTGATAATAATTTTATTGATTTTAAAGGAATTCTCTTTATGTTAACTTTGAGCGAACTGTTGCTAATAGCTAAAAGTCATAAGATCAATTTAAAAGGAAAAACTAAAACGGTATTTCTTTTTAGGTTATTAATCTGTTAATTTAGTGCTAACTTGAATTTAACTATCGCGAAGAAAGCAAATGTAATTGAGTGCATAGTAAAAACTAGTAGGTTACAAAGGTCCATTTTAGAAAATTTCTCTAGGAAAAGGGTTATTTTAAAAGATGTTAAGTCGGCTTTAGGTAAACTTCGTTTAAAATTTTTTTTTTTCAATTATTCTTTTGAAATTTTTTCCCATTTTAACATATACTTTTGCTTATGTATTTAAGTCAATTTAAAATTGTTAATCAAATAATAGGTCTGTGCGTTCGAGTTCACTGTAAAGCCCGCTTTTTAATAGACAGGGTTATGACTTTTAGCTTTATGGATAGAAAATACAAAGAAACAGAAGTGAGAACATTGCTGGCTGTATATTTTAATAAATTAAAAAACACTTCGAATGATGTAAATTTTGCTCTTAACGAGAGCCTCCTGGAAAAAATATCTCGAGTAAAAGTACTGCAAAATTTATCGAGTGATTTCCTTTTAAAAAAAGCATCTGTTAAGCACTTTCAAGTCACTCATGCAGCATTAGACGCGCTTCCTCTCATTTGCGGAAATTTACCTTATAAAGAAAAAATCATGGAAGATTCTATATTTTCTAATAAGGGTAATAAACACAAGCCTGATAACTTTGAGAGTTGCTATATATCAGGTTGATTGCTTCAGTACTTTTAAGTTTAAGGTATATTTAGCTCTTTCTACCTTAGAGGTTGACTTGCACTTTATTGAACTAACGAGATTGTTTCCGTATAACGGCAGCTCAAGTAGCAGCAACAGTCAACCTGTTAATGACTTTTACTGTTCGCATTACGGACTGTGCCACTACTTATATGCTTTGCTTCTGTAGAATTACATTTTTTAATTTTTTTTAACTTTATTATAAGTAAAAGTAATGCTATTTTTGGCTACTTGCTTGTTTACTTGTGTACTTAATCAAAGGAAACGTCGCATTTTGTTGATTTTACACTTATTTATATAAAACTGTATTTTTATTAAAAAATACTGAAGAACTTGTGTGATTTATGATAGTGAACAACAACTTCAGGACCATCTTGAGAAACATACTCTTATTGCTACACCTTTGCCTTTTTATAATTTTGTGGAGTTTATAAAAAAAAGGTTTAGCATCGAATGCTCGTCCGGAAGCTCTCAGTTGGAGCATCTCGACGTCTTTTCTCTTTATTATGGTGATCTTTTTAGCTATGATAAAGCTGACGATAAACAAGCTTTACGGGAAGAGCACTGTGTTGCTGTTAAGCCGCCACACTTGTTTCGACCCACTAATTTCGGATTCTTTTGTGCTGGCCATGTCTACTCAAGGATTCTCTCGGTTATTGTCACTCAGCTGGAAAAGCTTAAAAATTATCAACTGGTAGATATTATTATGCAGTCATTTAAAAATTTTTATAAGGAAAATAGAGAAGAAAAAATTAATATAATAACTTATTACATTGTTTATTAATGATTGTGATTTTAACCTTTTGTCATTACGTCATCCAAGGCAAATGAAATTCTACGACTTCTCTTGTCTCAGTGCCAGTTCGGATTAAATTCTCGCGGTCGCTGGTGGGAACGACTGACGGTTAATTTGCGCACGCAGTCTAGGGATCTCACGCAGTGCGCTTTGGAATGCAGAGTTTGCTGCGATCTTTACCAATAATTTTCACTGCTTGCCTTTTTAATATTTTAAATTAGAACGGTTTGGCAGATCCCCACGTACGTTCTGGCCACCGGATGTCTCTGGAAGCGAGGCTGAAAAAGTTCGTTTCTGTATTTCTATATAGCGAACTTTATACATTATATGCTTTTTATAAAGTAAAAGTGGTAAGAGATTGTATGTAAAAGAAATATAAAAATAATTGAAATCGATAAAAGGAAAAAATTTTTTATTTATAAAATCGCCTGTTATAGTTGATTATGACCTTTTTTTTATTTGAAGTGTGCTTTGAGCTGTTTTTAAAGGCGGCTCGACTTCCTCTCTACAATCATATATATATATATATATCGGGGCTATATTTTAACGACTCTCTTTGTCTATCTGTTCCTTTTTCAAGTACCTTTTTTTACTTTTGGAATTTGTTTATTTTGCAATGCACAAATTAAACTTTTTTAAGCGGATTTTAATAAAAATAATTATATTTATTTAGCATTAAAATAGTTATGAGATTAATAGTGGTGTATAAAACCTTTGTTTAATTTTTCCGGGATATTTTTTTGCGAACTGTGCTTTATATAGAAATAAGGAAAGACAAGGTATTATTTATTGGCAGTTATATAGTTGCTTGTTTTTAGACTATGTAGAAAATATTGGAGTTTTGAACTAACCGCCTGTAGGAGGTATTTGTAATTATCCTCTATGATGTTCTAGAGCGCTCACTTTCATTATATTACAGCTTAGATTAGTATTGCTTTAGTAGTTTTTAACCCCAAAGTCTTACTAAACTTTACTATTAAGCAGTTTTTCGGTAGGCTCACTTACACAATGTTTAGTGAGTTACAGTCCAGCAGTTATTATTGCTATATAATATTTTTTTTTTACAAGTTTTGTAGTGCTCCAGTTTGCGCATGTAAATGGTTAATTTACATTTTTCAATAAGATTTTAAAAAGGCCTTGAACTTTTTAAAGACAAAGTAAGTAATTTTTTCGCCCTTGATTCCTTACCACTTTAGGGTAATGCATAAGAAAAGCGGATTTAATATGAAAGACTGACTTGTAAAATCTTTATATGTTTTCTCACTGAAAGAAAAAAAAGTATACGTTCTTACTTTTACTTTTTAATTTAGGATTACTGTTGGGAAGGGAAAATCGAAACAAATGGCTCTCTTATCACTCCCGGAATACACTTTACTTGTTGAACCGCCAACAGTATTTATTAAAGGTTTCATACTTTTTGAAAAACATTTTATTTTGCTGCAATAAAATTAATGCGGATGACTTAGTCATAATTGTTATTTATCACAAGTAGTGTATACTTTTGTTTAGCGTGTGTGACGCGAATCACTTACTTTTTTTCTGATTTTTTTTTGTTACAAACTACTTGCTTATATAATTTCCGGTCTTTAATTCTTTATGTAGCTATGAAGGCCTGGGATAACGTGCGTGGTTTCAAAAGATTTTATATAGGTTCCTTTTTAGCGTTTCTGCCTTTTTTTAAACATTACTTATACCCATTCGCATTTTAGTAGGTCCTGCAATAGACACCGTTGAAGTATTGAATTACCGCGTTATTTTGCTAAACTCTAGAGCTTTTGCTTAGTTATATTAATTTTTTTGCAACGTTAGAAAGAATTTTTTTATATAACATTGTCAAGTTCTATTGTTGGATAAATATGAAGATTGGGTGTTGTTGCTTACAAATTTGGCTGCACTTCGTGTGCGTCCGACTCTTCCAAATAGTTAATATTATTTTTTCTACATGGTTTTTTTTTGTCGTGAAGATTTTCTCTCGGGTACATCATGTCAGCCCGAGTATGCATGCTATTGTTAAGTAAATCGAATTACTACCACTATTTGGTCATTGGATCTTTAACATTCTCACCGTGAAGAGTTTTAGCATTTCCATATAATTAACATTTGAGCGCTCTTAACTTTTTCCTTCTACTTTACTTTTGCTCATTTTATTTAAAAGAATACTGCCCTTGTCCATTATGAAAAACAAGGCTGGAACGGCCTACATTCACAAAACTTACTATTTAGAACACTTTTTGCTTTAGCCTTGTGGGATATAATATTTTCAGAAGACTTTGAAGATTCCTTTGTATCTCCTTATCAGAGTAATCATTAATTTTTTTTGAAAAGAAACTTCGAATTATTGCGTATAAATAACTCTAAGGCTTGCCGCTTGATTTTTATTGTGATACCTTTTATAAGAAAAGATCCATACAAATTACGGTTACATGTTGGCATTTGATGAAGCTGCCTTTTAAAAAAAGATTTTAGAAACGCTTAGATTATATGAAAGAGATGAATGTAGCTGAACTTCACTCTTTTTTTAAAAGTTGCTGGCATCAGCATTATGGAAAATTTTTTCCAGGTGCCGCATTTGCTTGATATCCAAAGAGTTTCTTGAGTACTCACAGGCTACTTATATATATTTTTAAAAGGTATAAGTTGGGACTTATTCACATTAGAGCAACTTTTATCCATAGTAGAGGTATTTATTATACATGGAGGCTGTAGGTTCCCACTAGGAGTCTGCTATTTGTAAGGGGCTGGGAACGGACCTGCTTACAGGTGTAATTATGATATTGGCGAAAGATTACCGCCATCGACGCAGTGGGATGCCCGATTTAACACTCTGGCAAACCGATCCTCCTTCTTGCAAGGTGAAATTTATTTTGTTTAACATTAGTAGCACCTTTACGTCCTGACAGTTTGTAGAAGTAAAGAGTACCAATGACAGGATGTCGTGGAAGCAGTGGCTCTGGGCTCACGATCTACTAAAGTTAGGGGCTGATTACGAGATTGGCAGCGTGCAAGGTTTACTTTGGTTTACTAATTTCGTGGTTTCGCTTATTTAATTTTATGAAAGACTTTAATTCTAGAAAAATTCCAAAAAAGTTATTGTAACTACGTTGGTTTAAAACCTGTATTTTAAACATTAAATGGCCAAAGGATTGCATCACCGACTTTTATAGTTATTTTTTTATATATCACAATTTTATTTAAAACCATGACATATAGTTTGCGGCTCACAATTCTTTGACTTACGTCTAATAGTACATTAAAGTTATTCTAAGGTTATATACTTCCTTTTATAAAATTGTAGATAGATACTGATATAGCTACTATAAACCTTTTTAAGTACAGGTATAAAGATGAAATTATTTAAATATTTTACAGCTCTGCAGGAGTTTAATTCTTTCATGTATAAAATAACTTATAGTAGTTGTTACCAAGCCCTCATATATTTTAGTAAGTTAATTACGTTATTTTTAGTTGCACGTGAAAAATAAAAGCTTAGTTTCCGTATATATTTTTTAAAGTATCTTAGTAAAGCGTTACTCATATTCTTGGGATAATCTCTTGCTAATTCTTTGAGTTTCCGCCGGAGCTCAGCGGTCTATAACTTTGTCGCATAAACTTTATCCTGGAAGACATATCAGAGCTTCTAGGGTGTAGATACTCGTAGCAGGTTCGAGTCCACCAACGCAGCTATTTTTTTGTATAGCTGCTGTTAAACCTCGACTTTCTGGTTTTTGGTACTTTAGTAAATATATACCCAGTGATATGAACCATTACACCTGCACTTTTTGAAAATATATTTGAAATGGCTAATAGGAGGATACTACTGCGCGATTTTACCAGCAAATCTTTCCACGTTTGATGGCCCAAATATATCCATTAAACTTCGCTTTCAACATCCCCTCGTCATCAGTTATGTCAAGATGAGACATAAACTTAGAGATAATTAATCACGTTATATTCAAGTTTAGTATATTTCAGAATTATGACAGATAAATATCAATTCTTAAAATTTTATAAAATTACTTATATATAACTGACTTCATTACAAAATTATGCATGAAAACTAGCTATTGGGCACCTTGAATTTAAATGGTACATCTGTGAGAGTCCTATCCTACGTTAAGACTTGAAATGAAGAATAAAAAAATTTACAATGATAATAAAAAAAATTCATAGGAAAAAACAATATCGCAGTTTTCATTATACCATACTATTTTATTTAGGTAGTTTTTGCCAGCGCCCAACTAATCTTAGTAATACTATAAACATAATAAGACAAAACCAACTATGAGGGAGATGCTTCCATATAGTTTGGGCTCTACTTTTAAAGGATGTCAGTACCAATGCATAAGTGCTTCCTAATATAAAAATACACTAGCAAAAAGTAATACGCTTCAGTGTAGCATTCTTTATTGTAGGGTGGATCAGTCTTACTACAAAAAGAAAAAAGTCCAGTTTTTTAATAAGTTACCAAGAAAAGTAGTTTACTGTTATTTATATATTTGTCTCAAATATATTGTGCCTGTTTTTTTGCCTGAATCCACTTATTGTACATGGCTCGGCCGTAAAGGGCTGCGCAAGCCTCACTGCAGCAAAGATCAAAGTTGTTTTCTACTGTTTTCTGGCAACTTTTATTGGCGCAGACCTGTTTAAAGGCGGAATAATAAGTTTGAGTTGATCATGAAAACAACAGGTTCGTACAAACGGCTGCTTGGATTGCTGCTTTGCTCCTTTATCAGGTGGTGGTGCCCTCGCAGAGTCAATTGAACTTTCCCGATGGCTGACGCCCTCTGCAAAAGCTCGATCACCCGCTCGTTCGGGTCTCTCCCCAACCTTGAGACTCCCACGTTCAGGGGATTGGCTGGTCTTAGTATTCTCCGTGCCGGATTGTGCTCTTGTCCACGTGAACGGCACCAAATCAGAAGACAGCTTTACTTTTTTTGCACGGGTGAACCCCTTCTAACATATGGGCTTTATAAGGGTAAATAGGCCAGTTGTCTGGTAAAGCAAGGACCCTTCTTGACTCCTCATAAGTAGTTGCTCGCTGGGGTGACAAAAAAGGCGCAATTCTATCGGAAGAGGCAGTTAAAACCTCCATACTTCCCGTCTAGTTAAAAGAATATAACATTTAGACACAAATCTAGCTATTTATAAGCCGACCGCAGCGTTTTTTGGCCTTTGATACATCCACTCTTCCAAAGTACATACGTCAGCTCTTCTAAGAGTAGAACGCTTGTTGTCGCTGAACAAAACCTTATACGAAAAGAAATTCTTGAGACCTTGAATTAAATTTTAGCTAATATTATAAGCTTTAATAATAAAAAATAAACATAGAACCCTGAAATCTTCCCAATTTTTTGTTGTAAACAGTAGAGCCATACTCAACATAAACTTGGTCTCCAATTTCTAAATCTTTAGCAGCTTTTAAACAAAAACTTTATTCCACAAGTATAAGTACAAAAAAGCATGCAAACAATTATTAGGGCACGTAATATCGGAAAGTCGAGTAATGATTGGCCGCTCGTCGTCAGGAAAGGTTACGTAGCAAAATCCGGATATTGTTAGTACTTCACTGACGACGCCCGCATACCAAAAGCCGTCAGCCGGATACCGCGCAACAACACGCGTCATAGACTCCAGCATAGAGACCTCTTCAGGCTTAACAAAAAAAATAAGTGTTAACCCGTAAAGTAATTCTTATGTAGAGACTTACGAACTCTGTTTTTACTTCGTTGTGCTTGTGTGAGCAATAAGCTCTGAACGAGCTAAAGTGAGGAAAACGATCCCGTAGGTTAACAACAAAAGCGTATCTCTGGGCGCAAGTCACGTGAAATGTGTTATAACAAGTTTCTAAAGTTTTTATATAGTTCGTAATTATTAAAAATTAATATTAAAATTACTACTTTTATAACATTGTATGTTTGGAGTGCTCAGGCACTTTTCCTTTAGGGCGACTTTTTGGCAGAAAATGCATTTCTCATTAAAAGGATGATTATAGGTGTGTTATAAAATTAAAAATAATATTATATACTAGTTTCCAACGAGAAATGGGAATCCGATCAATACCTTGAAATTGCCCTAGTAAGTGCATAGAAAAATCGTTTTTAAAAATTAACTTAGCATAAGGAGGTAACCTTGTAAGTTTTCTAATATTTCTTTTTTAGCTTGCTTTGTGGATACATCCGCCGGAAGCTATTATTTACGAACATCGCACAAAAGGATATGGTTATAAATAATTAAACACAATTGCTTAAAAAAGATAAACTTTAAAAGAAGACGGATCTGATTTTTCGCTCTTAGCAACCCCTTTCAAAAGTTTGGGAAGCTGTAAGTAACAAAGTGAGATGTTGCAATTCACACAAACAGAAAAGTAAACGGAGTTTACGAATGGCGTATATGCTGGCAAAAAAGAAACTTTAGGGGCCCAAATAGCACAAGAGGTAAGTATAAAGTCTCCAGTGCTCATCAAAGAGTAGGCTCCACCTTGGTTAGGGCATATGCAACATTTCTTCAAAATCGGTATAGTTTGAATGGGCTAGAAGAAAGGTGTAAAGAAGAAAAATACGTACAACTAAATTTGGTGAAAGAGCGCAGCGTTGGCATTTCCAACGGTCTACATCTTGTAACTCATTTAATGTAATTCCGTAGCAAACTATTTAAGTAAAAATGAGAGTTCTATGAACTGAATAAATATTAGTTTTATTTGTAAAAAAAAATACCAGTGTGTACAGCCACAAAACAAACGCTGCAAACCACAAGCCCGGTTTGGTTGATTTTCTCCTCATAAGTGTTATTTATTACGTGAAGTTGAAAGTAATTTGCTTCTGTTTCCGAACCACCCGGAATCCTAAGGCCTTCAGTACAGCACACGGAGCAAATCAGACGACTTTGGTTATATTCCAAAGGTGTTATTGAAAATTCTGCTAGGCTGCTCCGCTTCTTGTTAAAGGTAGTTTCCAGAAGAAACTCTGATGAGTTATTGGCGCTATTATTAGAGCTTACTTTAATGACATCCGCAGCTGGGAAATAAATAATATAAAATATTTACTCAACATCTAAAAGTTTAGATCACAAGAAAAACAGATATAGGTGTAGAATCTAAAGAGTTAAATTTGACAATACGAAATCAAGGCCACGTTTACTTTGAAGTAATATAGGCAAAGGGCTAATGCCTGCTTCAGACCTTTTAATAGAAAAGTATTCTTCTGAGGGGCTATCTATAGCAAGGAGAGGCGTGAGCAATTGTTATAACAAAAGTTGTAGTAAATAATTTTAGTTTATTGCCTTCTGTTTCCTCGCTACTATGAAGTTTGTACACTGAGCTATTAGAATAAACTTCAAATTCCGAGAGACTTGTGACGACAAATTTAGTTTTTACAAACAGAAGCAAAGACTCTGGAGGCATTTTTAAGACCTCTCCAGAATATTAAATGTGTAATATAATAATAGTGTCTGGAATAAAGGCTTTTAAATACTAACTATTTTAATATTTTCCTGACAAAAATATTGCTAGGAGGAGTTAAGATAAAAATTTGCTTGCGCAATATTGCACATAAATGCTTTTAACTCTAATTCTCGGAAGTTTTTAAGGTGGTAATAAAAAAAATTAATATAAATGTTTAAACTTAGAAGTTAGCTAACTAAATACGTATCTTCTAAAACTTTTTAGATTATATAACCTATTTTGTTTTTTTTCAAAATTATATAAGGTTCCAGTGTATTTAAAAACGGCGTATGTTGGGTGTTTTGAAGCGAAACGGATATGAAGAGGTGCAAGAAATCAAAAATTGCCGGCCGTGCCATACCAATAAAGAGAGGGTACGCACGAAACCCTGAAGCCAATAAGCGTGATTGGGAAGAACTAAACTATTCAACAAAGTAAAACGTTCCTCTATACCCATGTCACAAACACCATTGTAGTACAGCATTTCTCTTACCCTGTTTTTTAATAGGTAATCTTTCATCTTATTGGGCTATTTATGATTACCTTTGAGCTGGATGGTTTATTATATTTACTATAGTAAACATGTAAAACTTATTAAATACACTGATTTTTAAATATATATAGAGTAGAAGTAATTTAAAAAAAGTATTTATTTTTGAGTAAACAGAATTAAAATTATGTCGTTTGAGAAGGATCAACATAGCTTATTGTACCTTTAAAATCAGTTGTGTTTATACTTCTAGAAATAAACCTTAGCTTTACCTTAAAAACTTAAAAAAAAGGAAATAATTTGAAGCTTGAATACTCTAAAATGAATCAACTTCGCAGCAATATAAAGGAACTATGTGTACTATTATCCAAGAAAAGCAACTTTTCTAGGCTAACGCAAATTTTTTTAGTTCATATGGACCTGTGTTGAGTTGGAAAAACAGACTCAACTGCATGCTTTGTATTGTGTACTTACTGGTTGTTAGGTGCTTTAAATATTTGTTAAGCGAACTGTTAGTATAGTTTTAATTTTTTTTTACTTAACATTCTTTTACATAAATGTACACCTGTAAACAGTTAATCATTAAAAAAAATTTTAGTCTGTACCTTTTGTAAATAATAAAACACAGCTACTTTCAAGGCTTTTTTAAAAAAATAAAATTTTTAATAATATTGCTATCTCTGTTTACTACCCACCAAATATTGAATTACTAAAATCACGAAACGGTAATGCAAGTGCATAAAAATTTATTTCTGTTCTTGCTAATTTATTGATATTCTTCTAATCTGTTGTCAACTCAACCGAGCGCTAGGAAATATTACTTGTAAAATATAAAAAAATAAATGTATTGTTAATAAACTGTCGTTAGTTATGTAGGCGGTGTTCTCTCAGTTTTATATGATCCCTCAAAGCTTGTACACGTAATCGAAAACAGTAGATAAAGCAGTAAAAAAGTAGTTTTCATATAATATATCACTTTTTTGCTGCTGAGCTATTTTTTTAATAATAAGTATTGCCTTGACACCGGCTGTAAAAATTTGTAGGAAAGAATTACACTATCGTTCAAAAGTGTTTCCATATTTAAATTTTTGTGTGAAATTCTATAACACTTTATTTAATAACTGGTTATATTGATCCCTTATATATAAGTTTAGTTTGAGATCTATTTAATGTAGTTTGTGTTAGAGGAATTGCTTTCTTACTTGTCTTTATCGCTTTTTAAAGTTTGTTTCCATGAAGATAATTTCCACGTGGCCCCCTTCGTGCAAAATTGTCCATTTTTTTACGAATTTTTCATGATCACTCCATCATAGGGGGTTTTCATTACAGTGTTTGAGTAGGATAGCTTATTTAAAGACCTTAACTTAATTATGCGAAAACTTTTGATAGATAAAGAAAATGATGTTAAATGTCTTTTAAATTATGTAAGCCTTATACTGAGATTGCTCGTGAATGTGGTGTCAGTAAGGCCACAATATCCCTAATCAAAACTCTACGTGCTCCAAGCAACCCTTGCATTGAATCTGGGCGTCTAAAGATCTTGAAAATTCGGGATGTAGCTCGACTTAAACGAAAAGTGACTTTAGGTGCAAATGAAACTGCACAGAAAGCTTCAAAAAATCATAGAAACAACATTAGACAGGTTTCAAAATCGACGGAATCGAGAGAATTGCATTCTGCTGGTCTCCATGAAGAAAATAAGTTAATTAAACCCGCTTTGATAGACCTTCACAAGAGACTAAAATTCGAGTTGCGAAAAAGTGATGAACCCCTCATTCTTGACAGTGAAAAAGTAATTTTTTCGGACGAGACTAAGATCTATCGATATGGTTCAGATGTTGGTACTGGAAGCGATCTGGCAATAATCGAATACTTGATCACCAGGTGGTCCAAACGTGTAAACATGGGGGAGGATCAATTACAATTTGGTCTTGTATAACATCTAAGGAGGTCGAATATTTGGAAAAAGTGATGGGGAGCATTACCGCAAGCATGTATATAGACATTAAGAATGACCTATTCTCAACATGCGTTTGGTTTGGCCTTGGTCTTGGTAAAATGGTTTTTCATCGGGATAACGCCCCATGCCATCTCCGCCTGCAATATCGGTGCAATCATGGCTCCAATTACAGTCGTTCCAAGTGCTAGACTGGCCTCCGCAATCGCCTAATTCCCACTGAGCATGCATGGGAAATCTTGAAGAGTAAATTGGGATCATGAGAACTACTTCCGCTAACTTGCACTAGCTTTGGACACCTGTACAGTTAGAATGGAAAAATACGGCTCCGGAGCAAAGCTACAATCTGATTGCCAGTATGCCAAAGAGGATACAAGCAGTGATCCTGACAAAAGGAAGCTATACTAATTATTAAAACCTCGATTGCTAAATTAAGTTTATTCTACGTGCAAAATTTTCTGTAATCTTTCAACTTTACAAGCTCGTATCTTTACGAATATTAAACGAAATTAAAGTTCAAGTATTATCAACATGTAGCTAGAACATAGAAGTTTACAGTGTATAAGTTGTAAAGTAATTTACTAAGTTATTGAAGAGTTATTCTATTCAAATGAAAAAATGCAAACATCGAAACAATGTTGCTCATAGTGTAATGAAACTCGTACCGCACTTTTTTGTGTTTTTCTAAATATTTACTGCAACAAACTACAAGGCAAAACTCATTTAGAAACCACATGATATGAGAGGGTAACCTAACGGTTTTTAAGCAGTCACGCAAATTTTAGTTAAATAAATATTGGAAAAACCGTTTATTAGTGGTTCAACACTTTTACAATCAAGTGACTATTAAGATAATCATAAGTTAGATATGACCCCTCAGCTAATGTACGTTATCGTTCAAAATTGTTTCAATGTTTTGCATTTTTTTCATTTTATATTACATAACCTTTTAATATTGTAATGGATAACTTTACATTTGTACACAGTAAACTTCTATGTCCCAGCTACATTTTGACAATACTTGAACTTAAATTCGTTTAATTTTCGTAAAGATACGAGATTGTAAAGTCGAGAGGTTATAGAAAATTTTGCACGCAGAACAAATTTAAATTTAGTAGTCGAGGTTTTAATACTTCTTAAACTCATCTTATTCGCTTATGAATTCGTCAAAGCGGTAAATTTTTTTTTTCATAAGGAGACTAACCCTACTTTGCAATGCTCTCGATACGATCGATTTTTTAGTTGGTTCACCTAATTTTGTTTTGATAATTTTAATGCTTTCTGTAATTCGGTTGCGCCCGAGGTTACTTGTCATATAAGTCCCGGTCTTAAGATCTTTGGATGCCCATGTTCATTGCAAAGACGATTTCACTCACACTGAGCTTTAACTGAGTACATTACCGCATCCCCGAGCGATCTAAGAATAGGGTTGTCGCTCTAAAAGATCTTTTCTTTATCAGATGAAAGTTTACGCGTAATTAAATTAATTTCTAAAAAAACTATCCTTCATAGTTACTTAAACCGCTTAAAAAAACCCCTATGAGGGTGTAATTATGCAAATTCGTATAAAGTGAAACTAACAGTTTAAAGATATAAAACCATGAAACCGGGATTGATAGTTGCCGTTGTAGCTCAGCAGTTAGGGGATTGATGCGCAAACTCAAGGTCGTGGGTTCACTTTAACAAGAATATAAATTAATGAAAATTTAAAGCAAACAAAAAATATATTTTTTTCTAAAAAAAAGTATCTATTCAATATCCAATCCACAGTGATATATGAACAAATCTTGATGTTATAGGTTATTAGTGATATATTATTAAACTTAAAAGGGTAGACAAAGGCTGCATAGGTTACTCTAATCATTTCTACCTACAT